ATATCTCCATATTATATCTTAAACACGGCCTATTTAGGTTATTTTAAGTGATGACGGTTTAGATTTATCAAAATATAGCCTAAAATATAGGTTTAGATAGGTTTAGGTTTATCAATATATTTAGGTTTATCACTGAGAGGAGGAGTAAATATCACATAATAAATTTTTGAAAGATCTAATTTATTATGTAAACAATATTTTATTTCGGAGGTCCTAAGCAAATTTCATAGAGATCATTTGTCAGAGGCTTACTGTGTTTTTAGATAGCCAACATATGAACTTTATTAGTATTCTAAGTGTTGATGACTAGTTTGTCTATTAAACCTCCATTAATGCATAGTGGCCATTGATTTAATTTCACGGTTGATAGTGGCGGAATAAATTCTATCGAGTTTTTAGAAATATCTCTAACTTTGTGATAACTTTCTACATATTTTCACAACATTTTTATTTACAAAGGTGGTTTGTTTTGATTTTTTTTTTTAGTTATTTACTTATTTATCTAGTGAGAACATCTTTCGACCAAATGTTGTAAAAATTTGATCCAAAGTAGACGCATTTTATAATATTGAACGTAATAAATTATTATTTATATTTTTTGTTCACAAACACATGATATATTCAAATAATTTTACTATAAAGTGTTAATACAACCAATATTGACGTAAATTGTTTTGGGCTTTGAGAGAACTCTCAGTGATAAGTTTATCTCATATACAAATAATTACAATATAAAATATGATAATGTATGCATAAATCTTAAATAAAATATTATCTAATTATTGCTCTTATATCTTTGTGAAATGAAATAATTAATTAAACATTTACGATAAATTTCAATTTACAATGAATGATAAGCCTAGTTTATGTATCTTCTTTTTCTTTTTCTTTTTTTCTCTTTTGAGGAACTATTTTATATGTATGTCAGGAGAACAAAGATGAAAGATTGACTTTTACAATCTAATTCAAAGTAGTCTAATTCAATATAGGTAAGTAAACGAGGACCGAGTTTATTAGATAGAAAATAAAATGTGTCAATAAGTGGAAGATTTAATTACGATGAGAGGAAAAAAAATGAGGTGTGTTGAGAAATTACTTATTACTTATTAGACAATTAATACAAATAATTTGAAATTTTATCCAAAATAAGGGTAAAAGTGGATCAAATCTAAGATCTAACTTCCGAAAGGTGTTGACAAATAAAAGATTTATTGCATTTAGTACCCTCTGTTATATTAAATTTCTAAAAAACTCTTCTAATTGTAAATAATAGCAAACCCCTCTATTATGCATTATTTTAGCATACAGCCCCCTAAATGAGAGGTTTTAATGGGCTAGTTTGCTAAAAAAAAAAGTAGTTATAGGGGGGTTTTGCTAATATTAATAACATTACTTTTTAACAATTAGAGTAAATACATGGGGGTGTAGAAACTAGAAAATATACAACAATTAGCAAACCCTTTTGTTTTACAAAAAACTTGCATTATATCCCCACCACAGTTTGTTCAAGTTTTTCTTAACAAAGTGGTTTTTAGAAATGTTTTGAAAACTTAACCGAACATTGACCCAGACAAGCTATCGGGCCACGGTTGGACCGGTTCAACTGAGGTCCAATCATTTTTTTTCTCTTTTTTTTTTATAATATTTATAGTAAATAAAGCATATTTGTTTCATACACATTAACTCATTACTCATTTACAATTAAAATGTAAATCAAATTTATTTTTCTTTACACGCAATATCATACCGAATCGTTTCAAATATTATAGAAATTATAATAAAAAAATATGGTAACAAACACCCCCTGAGGTATGGTCAAATTACAAAAACACCCCTCTTGTTTGGATAATTACAACCACCCCCTCAACTCCTCAAATTTAGTAGAATCTTCGAGATTATATGTCACTTTTGTATCCGTTTTATCTCATTCAAACTCTACATTATGAAGCAAGATGATCATAATATGTGATTTTTAGCTTGTATATATCAGTTTGTGGTGCATCGGAAACTGTATTTTTACACAAAACGAGTACAAACTAGAGCACATTCCACGGAATCTAGATGATTATGTTGAATTTGGCACCATAAGGGTGGAGGTGTAAGAAAAAATTATAGTTGAGGGGCAGATGTAACTATCCAAACAATAGGGAGTTTTTCTTCATTAAAAGTGGACCTCCGTCGAAAATGGACATCGCTTCGAGATTGAGATTACTTTCTTGCAACGAATTCACTAAACTCGAGTCGTTCAAAAACGAAATAACCCCACCTTGGTTAATAAACGAATCTATAGCGTGAGCTAGTAACCAAACGGTGTCGTAAGCGTAGAGCGCGTACGTGCTTACCCCTAAAGAACCCTTGGTTAATTTATTCCATCTCGTTAAAAATTCTCGTTTCTTCTCCGAATCGGGTGTGTGTTGGCGAAGAACAAGAACCCCCATACCTTAGGGGGTGTTTGTAATTTACCCTAAAAAATAACATGTCTTCCAATTTCAAAAAAATATATATTGATTTTTTTTAGCTGGATAGTAATAAAACATTGGTTTGGCCATTTTATTTGTTCATTTTTTTAATTTAAAAAACACAATTTGGGGCCAAAAAACCCGATTTTCACTTGGATTCCAATGTCACGGTTCAACCGGTCAAACTGAAATATACAAGCTAATGGTTCGCGATTTAATCGGTTCAACCTGCCAGTCCGGTCCGAATTTCAAAAAGGAGATTCTTAATTTTATGATGAAAAATAGGAGATTGCACAAATCCCCAAATTAGGCAAATGACACAAGAAATTTTGACAAAAATTGTAATCCACTCACTAAAAATCAGAGAATATCACATAAATCCCACATTAGTCAAATGACACAATATAAATGCAATTAATAATTTCCAAAAACACAAGACAAATAACATTCTCTTTTACATATATACATTAGCTATCAAAACACACACACACACAATAGGTTTAATTTTGTTATGAATTCATCAATGGCAAAGTGTTTCTTGTTTTGGGTTCTTGTAATATTTTATTTAAACCTCGTATGTGTGCCGATATCCGGGAGAATATGTGAATTAGGGTTGGATGTGCTTTCTTGCAACCCAAATGGATGTAACCAGCTTTGCGTAGAACGCGTTCCTAAGGATTCGCAAATCACTCAAACGCAGTGCCGAGTCAACCCAGTAACCGGGTTCACCTGGTGTTACTGTTATTATCAATGTAAATGAAATTGGTGCAAATTTGAGGGACGAAATACTGTAATTTTTTCCCTAATAATAATAATAATAGTAATAGTAATCATTGGTTGTCAAACCCGTATGGTTTAAGGTTTGATTTATTGGTACGTTTCGAGTGTTCAGTTTTTCGATTTGAATCTTGAGAAATTTCCAATTCGACATGATTGTATCTTTTTTTTTTTTTGGTTTCGTTGCGATTTTATATGAAATTTTATGATTGGTGATTCAAAATTTGTCTAATTGTTTATGTTGAAAATAAAAGTTGACATTTTATTTTAAATAAAATCAAATACACACATAATATCCAAATTAGATAAAGGTATTAAAATTCTTCCCTTCAAATAGCATTATTTGTTGATTTATTTATTTAGTTTTTTTTTGTTTCAAAAATGTCATTCCTATGTCCATCCAAGACCATATAGCATTTGGTAATATTTGTTTTAATAAATTAATATTACTAAATTAATTATTATTATACAAAAATTGCAATCCACTCACTAAAAATCACGGATCACGTAAATCCCACATTAGTCAATGACACAATATAAAAATTCAATGTTGCAATAAATAATTTCTAAAATCACAACAGGGTCAAGATCTTTTTCAAATAATAACAATATTTTCATATTTTACTAAATCTTTTTATATTTTCACATAATTAAATGATTATAAAAATATTCCATAAATATGATTCTCCTTACATGTATAAATTAGTTGCCAACAACAATAATAATAAATAAACAAAAACATTGGTTTTTTTGTTTTCAAATTCATCAATGGCAAAGTGTTTCTTGATTTGGGTTCTTGTAACAATATTTTATTTCAACATTGTATATGGAAGGGATTTGCCAATTACTGGGAAAATTTGTGAACAAGCGTTGGATGTCGTTTTTTGCGACCCGACTGTTGCCACGGCATGCGACGAATATTGCATACATCGTATTCCTAAGAACTTACGAATCGCTCAAACACAGTGCAAATACAATCCAATGGCAGAGAAGAACTGGTGTTATTGTTATTATCAATGTCTACCTCCTACATAATATATCATATGGTTTACGGTTTGATTTTATTTGTACGTTTTGAGTGTTTGGTTTTTCGATTTGAATCTTGAGAAATTTCCAATTCATCATGATTATATCCTTTTTTTGTTTTTTTGATTCGTCACGATTTTATGATTTTATATGAAGTTTTATGATTTACGATTCAAAATTTGTCTAGTTGTTTATGTTATGTTAAAAATAAAAGTTGACACTTTATTTTAAATAAAATCAAATGCATAAAGAATATCCAAATTAGATAAAATTAAAAAGAAAATGAGTTGAAGCATAAAGTTATTAAAATTGTTCCCCTTCAAATAGCATTATTTGTGTCAATCATCAAGCAAGTGTTCTATAATATAATTGTTAATATATCTTAAATAAAGGGGCGAAAAAACATACTCGTTTATATTTTCGTAATTTTGAATAAAAATATAAAAATCTTATAATTTATGATTTGTTGCAATTTCCAATATTTAAATTTATCTAAATAATTTTCGATTCGGTTTGCGATTCAACAACCACCGATGTTTTTTTTTCTAATTTACCTTAATAATGATTCGATTTTGAAGGCTAATGAATCATTCTGTTAAACATGAAATGGTTGAGCTTACGTAAATTCAATATAATCGAACAATATCCTTATTCATCGATAATCTAAGCTTGAATTTTTTAACACAAATACACCAAGTTTAATAAATTTTAGTCGAATATTTTTCACAACTCAAGTCGTAACCAAATGAACATTAGAAATGCTTCATAATCGAATAATGAAGTATCGATGGATACATACATCTTCAATACATATCACCCAAAAAAAATGCATAAGATCGAAATTCTACAGCAAACTCTGAGACACGAAAGCTTCAGATATACTATTAATCGTTTACGAATGCAAGATCAGTTTACGAGAAACAATAAACTTTACACTCACCGGAAAAAAAAAAAAAAAAAGACGGAACGATTATTTACGTGAGGTGGCAGAACCAGGAACAGGCATCAGAATCCCGGCATCAGACATGTAGAAACAGTTGTAGTTAATACGAGTAACTAGAGCTGCTAAATGAGGGAATTGACCTACATTTAGTTTCACCGATAGAATCTGCGAAATTGCCAAATATAACAACGAATAAGCAAAACCAATATCAATCGAAAATACATTTTTTTTAGGGTAAATTACAACCACCCCTGAGGTATGGTTAAATTACAAAAAAAAACCTCTTGTTTGGATATTTACATCTATCCCCCTCAACTATGAATCTTCTTACACCTCCACCCTTATGGTGTCAAATTCAGCATAATCATCTAGATTTCGTGAAATGTTCTCCAGTTTGTACTCGTTTTGTGCAAAAATACAATTTCTGATGCACTAAAATCTGATATATACAAGCCAAAAAACACATCTTATGATCATCTTGCTTCAAAATGTGGAGCTCAAATGGCATAAAATGGGTAGAAAATTGAGAATATTCCATATAATATAGAAGATTCCACTAAATTTGAATCCGCAAGGGTAGACGTGTAAAAAGATTTATAGTTGAGGGGTGGTTGTAATTACCCAAACAAGAGGGGGGTTTTCGTAATTTAACCATACCTTAGGGGTTGTAATTTACCCTTTATTTTATCCAAAGTCCCGTGTTATAAATATTAGCATATAACCCCCATAAAATGCATTTTTCTAGCACACAGCCCCATAAATAGTGAGGTTTTAGAGGGTAGTTTGCTAAAAGAAAGTTGCATTATAGGGGGGTTTTGGTAATATTAATAAATACGAGGACTTTTTTAACAATTAGAGCAAAACACAGGGTTCTGAATGCAAATAAACTCAAAAGGTAATATAAGATGCCATATTTATAAATTATAATAAGCAGAAGCCAAACAAAATTACCCTGAGAAGAAACGCCATGCAGTCGTCAAACTGTTTCTCTATTCGTTCGACTTCTTTCTCACATCTTGCTTTGACCGTAGAAATTGCACCGCCGCTGCTCAGAGTTTGCTGTATGGAATAAAAGTCCAAAGCTAGCCCGAGTATACTGTTTATACGGCTGGCGATCAATCCCCACTGTAAGTTAAAATAGACCGTCAGTAGACGATCACAACTTTTCAAAGGGCAAAAAGGGTAATATCGAATAATATTAGAAGAGACGAGACCAGTTTGTCTGGAACCACAAAGCACTGTCTCTGAATAGACAACAAGTAGGCCTCGTGTACTTCAATTGCTTCATCCAGAGTTCCGGCTGCTGCCACACCCTCACAAAGCTCGCGCCATGCATTGTGATATACCTGCATTTTTTTAATTATAGAAACTATTTTATAAAGATATTAAAAGGAATCTCATAATATATTTAATTTAAGTTGGAAAATTGCGTACCCTGTCCATAACGTAATTGTGAAAGGCGTCTACGAAATGGAGAAGTTTTTGCTCAAGCAACCAGTAGCGCTTGCGTTTTATTGTTGCAGTGCCTTTATCCTGTAACATTGAAAGTTCAAAAAATCACGGATCTGGAAAAAGAAAGTTTTTTTGGAACGGAGTTGGAAGACACATTAGATTCAGAATTCCGATTCGATTTTTATTTTTCCAAAAATTTTGATTTTTTTTCTTAAAATTACACATTAAATATTAATACTAATATTTATTTTACATTGTAAGTGACTAAGAAAATGGAAATTCTGAAATCCGCCGATCCGATCCGAAAATTTCGATTTTGGAACAAGTTTTTTCATTCTGATTTCCGATTTTTCCATTTTTTGTTTTGAACCGAATTAGAATTAGTTTTTCACTTCCAGAAAAAAATGGATTTTTTTCACCCCTACATGCCATCTAAAATAAAATAGGGGCAAGCAGTTAGTACCTTCCACATCCACCGCCGAGCTTTGTCAAGCACAAATTTTGCACGTTTAATTTTCAATAAGCAACTCATCACCTACGTAAAACACCCATCAAACCTTTTAATAATAAAATAAATAAAAAATAATCATCTCCTACTGAAATTATTAAAAAAAATGTCGAAAATGCTACCTGGTTATACTTCCTCATTGCTTCCGCATTAGCAATAACTTCGAGTGGCCAAGAGACCTATTTGTAAAGGGTTCAAAATTAAGTTAAAAAATTTTTTTCAAACACTAAAGAAAAGCTGAAAATACGAGAGCAACATAAGTACGAAGTGCATGCCTTATATGTGAACTTGAGAGAATCGAGAACATCCATTCCAGAGCTCTGATTTCTACCTTTACGAGGCGTGGAGATAGAAGGACTGTTTTGTTCATCTTCACCGAAACCGGGACTTCTGGACACTGATACTACTAACGAATCGGGCGCGCTTAGTAGCACATTATCAGCCGAATTCCTTATTGACTCCTGAATTAAACTAAATTCTGGCATTAAAAACACTCCTCGTTGATATCCCAAAAAATAACGAAATAACTTAAACAAAGCTAGCGACAATTACAGTTTAGTAACTGCACCTGTAATAACGTGTTCAACTCGAAATCATCGTCTAAGGATTCTCCTTTGTCTAGCTTATTGTAGATCACCGACAAGAAATGCTGCAGCATATCACCTGTATTTAGCAGGATTCGTCCCAGTCAGATAATAAAATAAATATGCAAAATCGAGCGTATAATAGAAAGTTTTGGAACGGTCAAACTCCGTAGATACCTGACCCTAATAAATAAATAGCACGCAACACACCCAGCTCATCCATCAATTTCCAGTCATGCAGTAATTTCGACAACATAATCCTGCCAATATAATCAGCCTGCAAATTGGAATCAGAAAATTGTAACATTTGCGCATAAAATAGTATTTTATTATGACCAATTACAGAAAGTAAGTAATCGCTCTTCGTGTACCTGCTTCTTGATATAGAAGATAAGGCATTCTTGAATAATGGCTGCAGGGGGTGGAGTGCTTTTCGGGTCGACATTTTGAATCCATCTTAGGGTTTTCGATGGAAGAGTACAATTATTCTGAAAAGGTAAAACTTCCGACATCTGAAGGTCCTCCTGTTACATAAAAACCCAAGGTTCTTAAACTCATTAAAAATAAAGATAATATACAAACTAGCGATGGAAATTAGAACGGAATTTCCAAATTACACTGATCCCAATCCAAATATTTCCAATTTTAGAACAACCCGAATTCCAAAAGTTCCGATTCCTCCCTAATTTTTTTTGGAACGGAATCGGAATACACATTAGATTCTGAATTCCGACCGGTTTTAATTTTCGGAAAATTACGGGGTTTGCGGAATTTGGAATTAGTTTTTCAGTTCCGAAAAAGAATTGCTTTTGTTTTCGAAAGTGCTAGTTCTGATCCGTCCGATTTCCACCTCTAATACAAACCTACACCAATCAAGAAAATACAGAGTAAAAAACCTGGAGACACGGAAGAAGCGTTGGAAAGGGAAGCACAGCTTCGAGTATTTTCGCATCTTCCAAGAACCTCAAGCACTCCAATTCACCAAACTGAAACCCAGAGGTATAATCCGTATTCAAACCGTGTCCACTGTTATCCCTAAATATAGCCTGCCTTAGCCACTCGTCGTTTAAAGGAGGAAGATTGAAGGCTTGAGAAATATTCAACGAGCTCCAAGCATCCCTATTCTCCTCGAGAATCCCACAACACACTGTAATAGCTGGGTTTTCGGGACAATATTTTTGGGGATTTAATGCACCGTTTTGTGAAGAAAGTACCGAACCCGTATTTCCTTTTTGTGCCAATGTATCATCCAACAATTTCTGCCAAAAGTTTTTTGACTCTACATTTGCAATCGAAAAACTGTCATCTTGCGATAAATACTCAGAGACATGATCGCCGTAGCCAACAAGAGCTGTTAGTGACACGCAAAAGATCTCGGATAAGGTTAATCCAGCTATGTTATACCCATCCTCGACATTATCTGTAGAAACTGATAAAAGAGATGTTGTAGGAGCATGCCGAATTAGCTGTAATGATTTTCCAGCTGAAATTATTGCCTTTGCAACGTCTTTGATAAAGAACGGGCAGAGTTGAGAGTCTTTTTTAGTTTCTTCATTTGCAACGGCTACATTAGACGAAGATATGGGTGCTCTACCGGTTTTATCTTTTTTCTCTGGGAAATCCGAGAGAAAATCTGCAAGTATTAATTTTTCAGGCTTAGTTGATCTTAGCTGATAGCTTTTATCCCAGAACTCAGCCTCCTCTATTGCGATTTTCTTGTTTGCAACAAAAAACATCTGCAGAAAGGCACAAAGAATCACCATAGGAAATTAAATGGACGAGCTGTCAACAGTACTGTATCAAAGGCAACCCGTAATTTTCAAAACTAGAGGAAAACATTAGAATTTTTGTCGACAAAAGTAAACCAGTAACGGAGAATTTCAAGTATTGTAAACAAAGACAAATAGTAACAATGATGCTACTGACACGCATAAACGAAAACATACTTATTATAAGCAACAAATCAAAAATAGAAAATCAGATTTAAAAAAAAAAAAACAGGTGCTAGTGTCTAGGTGCAGAAAATTAAAACAGAGTTTAAGGAAACTCGAGACACGGAAAATAAATCTCGACGGAAGTACCTCTTCAAAAGGATCATCAAGAGTTCCTTGGAAAAGCCAAGAGTCAAGGGTCTCAATATAAGGAAGCAAACTTCCCACAAATATATAAAGTAGCATCCGGTACGCATCCTCCTGAAAATTAGCATATTGCCCGAATTAAATCTCGGGATTTAAAATGCGTATCGAATGAGTATACAATATCTTAGTAAAAAAAAAAGAAATTTGACAACCTCTCCCCCTTGCACAAGACAAACTTCATTGAGCTTCAAATAAAGATGGTTCAGAATCTGAAAGGCGATTTCCGCAGCCGGAAGATAGGGATCGATTTCTAAATAGAATTGAGGAATGGCCCCGTCAACAATTTGAAACAAATATTCAGCTCCTGAGCAAACACTATATAAAAAATAAATAAAATAATTAGGAAAATAAAATGTACCATACTCGAGCACCAAAATCCAGTGACGAGCAGACAAACCTTGATAAAGAACTCGACAACCCCAAAATAGAAAGAGCAATACAACCATTTGAGCTATTCACTTTCACCTCTTCTTTCAAAGCAACATCTCGTATCCTCTACAACAACGACGAACAAGGATACGAAATTTTAAATGACAGTAGAACCTCGATAAATCAGCTTAAATAATAGTTTCTTCCGGTACCGACTCGGTAAAAACTCACTAAAGTATTAGTTTGATAATTTAATTTATAGAGGTTTAAATGTATAATGCAAACGATACGTACTCGAAGCCATGTGCTAACAGAGCAAGAAAATGCTCGTAAAGTCGGAGGAGGCGAGCCCTTCGATTTCTCGATTTTGGTTACCGCAATATCGACCAATTGTAAGCATGTGGCAGCATATAAAAACTGATCGAGAATGCGATACAAACTCGTCTGCGAAAGATGGGTCAAATAAATTCCCCTTTTGAAGTGGAAACAGTGCCTTTTCTCATCCCAATTGAATAAGGAACTCGATAAACCTTGAAGCATTTGCAGAACTCCTCGAACCTAAAAACCAACAAAACATTGAATTACCCGAAAAAAAAACAGAAAAAGAAAATCAATAATTCAAAATACAAACCAGGTCTAATTCATTTGTTCTCAGAGATGAAATTGGGGTTGCAAAATGTATGCCGCCGCCGGTGAAGGAACTGTGGATTGTGTGCATCAAATTTTCGGAAGCTTCCATCTCCGAGCACATTGAATCGGTTAACACTCGTGAACAATTTCCGGTGAGATCTTCCACCGGAGGAGAGAGAGAGGGAACAAAATATAAAAGAGGGGTTTTTGGAATTTTGAACCCTCGAAATACATGTTTTCGGCGGTTCGCACCCTTAAATTGCTGTATTTGCAGATTGCACCCTTCGAATTTAAATTTTTTGACACTTGGCACCCCAAATTACTTTTGGCTTGCGGAACTTGTTGGGAAAACTGGAAGAAGGGCAAACTTGTTATTCTCTTATTTATCCTCTTCACCCAAATTCTTAAACATCTTTTGCCCACGAATCAAACTGCGAGATGGTTTATGAATTCCTTACCACGTTGGGACCCTTTTGAGGCCATGGCTGGAGAGGCTCGACGGAAAAGAAACACCTCATCTTGAAGTTGACGAGGGCTTTTTCATAAAATATTAGGGACTAAATTGAAATTTTAAATACTTCATTTTGGGAATTATAAAATTTTAGGGTGAATCTATGATTTCTTAATTTTGAGTAAAAGGGTATTTTAGACTTTTCATGTAAAAAACATACTCCTAGTCGCATAAATGGGGTGTGTATTTCACGATCATCTCGTAAGAGTTTTATTGGCTTTGACTAATTTTCATAGGGGTCCTTGCTAATATTTTTAACACAAGAGTTTTTATGGCAATTAGAGAATAACAAGTTTGAACTTCTTCTAGGTTTTCCAACAAGTTACAGTAAGTTTTGCAAGTCAAAAGTAATTTGAGGGTGCAGAGTGCGAAGAAATATATATTTGAAGGGTGCAATCTGCCAATTTCTCTGTTTAAGAGTACGAAATGCAAAAAAATATATATTTCGAGGATGCAAAATGCGAAAAACTCTATAAGAACTAGAGAGGAGAGGGGAGATTTTTTTTTTTTTTTTCCTCCGCTTTTCTTTTGAAAAATTACTGGCACTAGGATAAATTATTGATTGTAGCATTTAATATTATTAATTGAAATGTTAAACTTACGTTTCAATTTTACTAATATCCTTTTGATTTCGAATTTGATTTTGATTATTTCTAGTTCTGATTTTGGCGAAATTTGAAATACAAAAATTGTAGTACTATGAGTTAGATTTATAATTCGAATTGGATGTCGCGTAACAAAGTTATATATGAATTAGCCATATTTTGAATTTCAGATAATTCAAAACATCAAAGTTCTAGGCAGTGTTTATTATTCATATTGATTCATGTATATATTTCTCATCTCATATCCAATTTTGTTGATTCAAGTTAACACTACAAAGCTAACTCAAAAAACTACAATTTTTGTGCTTTGTGATTTCGCCAAATTCGGACTAACGAATGGTCAAATTAGTGTTTGCAGTTGAAACGATATTATTAAAGCTGAAACGACATTTACCAGAATGTATATACTTACATTACATCATATGTACATCCTTAACTACATTACACTACAAAGAATGTCTCACATCCATAACCTCTACATACAAATACAAACACAAATCTTGTTTTAAACACTTTTTGCTAATTAATTTCTTGTTGTACATTATGTTTCTTTCTTTCTTCCATTTTTGGCATCAATAGAGTGAGATTTCCCTTGCATGAAAAGCTGTACAAATTGTTGTTCACAGCTTTCAGCACCAAATTATTCTGAATATTTGAAGGGCAATTATTACTATTGTAATTAACCTCCGGCGAAATTACACGAGGAACTGCTTCAAGCGTAGAACGAGGAGAATTGTGCGGATTTGCCCCCGAATCCGTTTGTTCCGTACAACATTGCCTGCATCGAAAACTCATTTTTTTATCGTACAAAAACCAAAATTTGAATAAATAAATAAGTACTTGTACTAAACTAAATAAAAACACTTGCCCGTTAACTAGTGGCAATTTTCCTTGCTTGATCCACGTAGTACTCTCGAAATCCTGAAAAACGAAAAATTTCATTTATGTTAAAATGAAACGGTATTGTGGTCCGAAATTTTTTATTTTTTATTTTTTCATTTTTATTTCTAATTTAGGAAACTTACATGTAATTTAAATCCGGAGAATTCTTGCACGAAACCGGAAAATATCTGATCCTGCGAACTACGCAAAAAAGGATGCTGCAGCAGCTTAACTGCCGAAGGTCGGTCTTTAGGTCTCCTCTGAAAGCACCACTGAAGAAAATCCTTTCCTTCATCGGACAAAGTTTCCGGTACAGGTGGCGTCTTATTCAGAACATTGAACATCGCTTGAACCTGTACATATATATCCACCCAACCAAACAAGCCCTTAATTCCAAATGAACTAGTAACCGAAACAAAAAAAAAAATCACGTTAAATGGATCAACGGGTCGGGTCGGGTCGATCCGTATATATACCTACCCCATTAGAATCGCTCCACGGAGGTTTTCCTGTCAGCATCTCGATTACCGTGCACCCCACGCTCCATATATCTACACCAAAGGCTAACTCCGGGTTATTATCTTTCCGCATCGCAGCCTGCAAAACCTGCCGAATAACAAAAAGAAAAAAAAAAAAAGAAAAACAAAAACAAGTCCATCAATTATTTGATTCTTACTATAGATATATACATCACACACACACACACACACATATATATGCACGTGTACGATCAGATATAAATCAAGATTATCGAGATACCTCTGGAGCCATCCAATGTGGAGTACCCTTCAACGAAAGATCTATTTCATTTCCGGTAAGCTGGAGGAACAAAAACAAAAAACAATTCCAGATATAAATATACAATGCAAGATTATCGAAATAAATCATTTAAAAATGTATAATTTTTTTTAAAAGCTCCGAAAAACGCTTACGTGTTTTGCTAACCCAAAGTCAGCAAGCTTTACGACACCGGATGAATTAACAAGTAAATTTGCCCCTTTGATGTCCCTGTTTTATTAAAAAAAAAAATATTCGATCAGTATTCGAATACAATGAAATTAAAAAAAAAAAAATAGAAATTTGCGGAAAAATACGAAAATATATATAACCTGTGTATTGTCTTTGTACTATGTAAATAAGCCAACCCCGAGAGAATATGACGAGTAAAATTACGAACAATGCTCTCGGTCATAGCTCCACAGTGTTCTTGGACGTACTTATTAACCGATCCCGGATGCACGTACTCCAAGTATATGCAAAACCGATCCTCAATCTGCAGCAAAATAACGTTACGAAAATTCAGTTTTATTTCGTAATATACATTTTATTGAGTATCAGAATACAAATATTGGTTGATCTGCTTACAATTTCGCTGCCGTAGTACTGCACAATGTTCGGATGCTTCAACTCTCTGAGAAATTTGATCTCCTAAACGGCAACCAAAAAAAATCGTGTCTCGGTAAAAATAGTGTACTTCGTGATTGTTTTTTTTTAAAGTACAAACACGTTGAAGAAACCCGGAATAAATTAAACCTGTTCCAACTGCTTTATACATTCGTCGCATTTCGGGTCGTCGGGTATCATCTCGACTTCTTTCACTGCGCACGTCGCTCCGGTTTCACTACCAGAACAAGTCGGTGACATAAGATTATTTTTTTTAACAAATAAATAAATAGAAAATAACAGAAAGTCAACCTGCATGTGTTATATCGAATTACTAAAAAACTCCTCGTGTTATAAATATTGCTAAATTTATAATACGAGGAGTTTTTTGGCAATTAGAGTAAAACAGAGGGATGCAATAAACCGCAAAAAGTCTTCCTGGGGGTAATTATGTTAATTTACATACCGATGAGTTGCAATATAAACACTTCCGAATGTACCGCGCCCAATTGGTCTCCCCCTCTGCCATTGCCCTTTAATCGACGGCGAAACGTCCGATCTATCGATGCTTTGTCGGCCGGTAGGCAAAGACCGAGAAGTCGTCGGGGGACGGGGCAGAGGGTGGACGTTGGTGGAACTTTCCGGGAGGGACTTATTGTGCGAATGTACGAAAATGCCCTTACGGCTCGTGGAGATCTCGTGCTTGGTTGGGCTATGAAGTGGGGAGTGCAATGGGGATAGTAATTGGTAAGAATAGTTCGACATTCTGTCGGATTTCGAGACTTCGAAATCGGACGGAACTTGAAACGGGGAACGGATAAGATCAACGGTGCCGTATCTTTTGGGACTGAGTGTCGGACTTGAGTAAACGCTGCTTGGAGCACTCATTGCAGGGAAATAGCGATGGAAGTCGTTTTCTGAGGTGTCGAGATTTAAGTGTTGGGGGATTCGTCTTCTTCGGTACGATGGAGATTTGTATGTTTTTTTTCCGACAATGTCGTCGGTGGTTTTCCCGGAAAATTGATGACGAGGGTTCCTAAGCATTTGAAAATAACACCAAATGAAATTCAATATTTTTTTAACATATCTAAACATTTGATTTGCACCAAATGTTAATAATAGAGACTCGATTCGAAAAACAATAAATGCTTATATATGCAAGTGAAAAGCGGTAACTACGAGCTTCTATTCAAATGTTGCTGGATTTCGCGGCCGTAACAGACATTTACACAAAAATCCAATTAATTTAGAATTCATTTAAGAAATATTACTATTAGACTATTAGTAGAATGACTAAATCTATTTAACGAACTTTTTCCGATTTCGATTCCGAAAATTGATGACAAGGGTTTCGTTTCTAAGCATTTGAAAAAGAAAAAAAACACCAAATGAACTTCAATATCTTTTTTTAACATATCTAAGCATTTGATTTGCACCAAATGTCATAATCAAGACTCGATTCGAAAACAATAAACGCTTAATTATATAGCAAGTGAAAAGCGGTAACTACGAGCTTCTATTCAAATGTTGCTTGGATTTCGCGGCCGTAACAGACATTTAGACAAAAATCCAATTAATTTGGAATTCATTACAGAAATATTACTAATAGTAGAATGATTAGTTCTATTTAACGAAATATTGCCGATTTCGATCGGTTCCGGCTAATCATGCTAGAAATTGCTAATTAAGTCAAAAGATTTACTCTAATTAAAGATTTAAAAAAAGAAGAAAAAAAAGAAAGTACCTAGCTCTCGGGCCATGGGAAGTCGTATCATTCTGCGGTAGCGGATAACCCGTTTCAGGGCGGGGCAGCGGCTGAGGCACGGCGGACTTGGACCAGTGGCCGCCGGCGCCGCCGCAGTGGGAAGGGGTTCGGGCACCGGAGCCAGGACCCGAACCCGAATCAGGGGAAACGGGGCAAGACTGCGACCCGTTATTATGCACCCCGCCACCGGACTTCAAACCAAGTTCATCATCTGTGACATGCCTCAATTTCCTTTGCCGAGTCAGCTTCCTCCTCTGCTCGTCGCCGCCACCGCCGTTGCCGGTGATGTTCTTGAAAATATCGTTGGAGCTCTTGCTCTTGCCCTTAAACGGCCGAGATGACGACGAAGAAGACGAAGTAAATGCACTCCAGATTGAAGGCATTCCCAAAAACTAACAACTCCGGCCACAAAAAAAAAAAGAAAAAAAGAAAAAAGAAAAAAAGAAAAAAACAGAGCAAATAATCAAGAAATGAAAAAAATCTCTCAAATTTTTCAACAAAAATGGGGGTGGGGGTTTACTGTAATGGTGTGTGAAGTTGATAGGAAGTTTGACGAAGACAATGGGGGTCAATTTTTCTTTGCTTTTGAATTTTCGTTACACTGATGTGTTTGTTTTTATTTTTTTGTTTCCATGCATATAAAAACCTTTTGGAGTTGAAGTTACGTAAATAAATTTTATTTCTTTTATTTTGGTTTTTTTTTTTCAATTTATATTTTCTTTTTCAACATAGCGTGCTGCGTAGACCGTGTTAGATGTTTCTTCTGCAAAGTCAACGGTGAATTACTAATTGGCAATTCATAAACAATATGTTTGGATCACACCCAACAATGAAGAATGTAGACGATGTATACTTAATTACTTATTACTCCCTCCATTTTTAAATCGTTTTTAAATATATATGTGTCGTTTTTCACCTCTGCACGAATCTTAAGAAGTTCGATAAATTAATGTGGAAAAAATGCTGAAGAGTTAATAATGGCATAATTAATATAAAATTATGTAATTAATATATTATTAGAATTCTAAAGTAACGGATAAAAATATTATAGAAGAGAGAGAGGGATGTTTAATTTTAAAATCTAGCCGTGTGTGAGCTGTAAAATCTGGAAATAAAATATTAAACCGTACAGTGGGAAATTGGTTTGTAATTTATGTGTGTATATATATATATAATTATATAAGAATAAAAAAAATTGAAAAAAAAATAAGTCTTAGTGTACGGGGAGCATGGTATGGACTTTAGAGTTTATAAGACCAAGTAAACGGCCACGTATATATGGAGTTGGTGGTGTGGGTAGGGTTTGAATTAATCTAGGAGTTGATGATAATTAATTTGATGTAATAAAACATCTCTAAATATTCTAGTATTAATTAGATATAAATAGACATACTATAATTAGGGTAAATATACTAATATTGTGTCACTTAAATTACATGAGGTAGCTCAAATTACACCGGATAAATTTACAATGGATAATATATGTCATTATAGATCTACTCAATTACACAGTCCTGCATGTGAATATATGTAAAATAGATAGTTATTAATAACACATATAGTGAAATCTATAACAGATAAAGTTCATCGAGTCTAGCATAAAATACACCCCTGAATAATTTGGTCTCGTTTATTTTTTACGATGAAATCAGTCAAATATAATCTTAAGAGTATGCTCTTGGGCCGGGATCCACTCACACATATAAAGAGATATCAACTCTTTAGTAGTCGAAAATTTCATTTTCTTTTATCATTTTCACACCTCCGAAAAAGAGCACGCGAAGCCCTAGCCTTTATATTTTCCTTGGGATATTTTCATATCTTGTTATATATATATTTGAAAATTATAAAGTCACTAAATCAAACTACAACTAAATGACCTAAAACAATTATAAAAAGAAAATATAAATTAATATGCAAAAATTATCTATAGATTTAAAAAAATAAACAAAGATAAAATAATAGTTATTAAATGTTACACAAAATTTTTAAACTACATACACAAAAAATATATTATGATTTAACAAAATTAAAAAGACTCCTTTTGGTTTTCTAATTAATACACATTACAAAAAGAAAATAACAGTTAAATATGATATTCTTTTACACGCCCAAAACAATTCCAAACTTTCTCTTTAGCCCCATAAATAGTATTTTCCGTCGGATATCAACGGTCATTTGACGGAGTTGACCAAACCCCAAGCCCCAAACCACACCCAAAAAGTCAGATTCAACACCCATACACGTGTGAATCACGTGAGGGGGAGAGAGAGAGAGAGGGTCAGAGAGAGAGAGAGAGACCTGCAACGAATTTGGCAGATTGACGGTGGACTATAAAATCCGTCGAGAGAAATGGTTAAAATTATTTCTTTTTCAATAATGAAGGGCAGTTTTGTAATTTCCATTACAAACCCGTTTACCACATCCGAAAAAGGAAACTCGCCCTAGACATACTGATTCTTCCTCTTCACTCACTCACTGGAACTCGGGCGTTTCCCGTAAACCCTAGGGAGGAGAGAAGATGACTGAGGCAGCAAGCGCGGTGGTGCACGATATCCTGGGGCGGCGCGTGGATGACGTTGACCAGCCAATCACGGATTACATCATCAATGTCCTCGCCGACGAGGATTTTGATTTCGGCGCCGACGGAGAAAGCATCTTTGAAGCCCTCGGCGAGCTCCTTGTTGACTCCGGTTGCGTAGCTGATCACTCCGAATGCCGCTTGGTATGCATTGATTGCATAAATTAACCAATTTTTTATTTAATTTTTAATTTCGTTTCAGTAGATGGAGAAGTGTTTGTAATTCAAGCATCATGCTAGAAGAAGAAAAAAATGTAGATTTTAATTTATAATGATATTCATATTTGATGAGAATTTTATAATGATTTTCTTAAAAATATTTTTGCATCTGTCTAGAAATGGAGTTCGTTTATTTACCGGTCTAATGCTCTCTTATTTGCGAATTTAATGTTTTCGGTGAAATTTACTACAGGTATGTAGTAAACTGTCTGAGAAATTTGGGAAACATGGATTGGTGAAAGAAAAACCGACAGTTAGAAGCCTTTTGGCACCATTGCGAATGTATGACGGAATGGATGAAAAAGAAGCACCAAAGAAGAAGGCGGAGCCTGTAGATGGTCCGTTACTAACCGAGCGTGATAAGATGAAGATTGAAAGGAGGAAGAGGAAAGAGGATAAGCAGAGAGAGGTAACATTCACCCTGATAGTGTGAGATTGGGGTTCATTAAAGCTCAAATCTTAAATTGTCGGGAACACAAAAATGACCATTGGAGCTGTAATGTATGGCTATGTGTGCTTTTGGTTTCTTATTGAATACGGTGTATTTTTGCAGGTAGAATACCAAACACATTTAGAGGAAATGGAAGCAGTCAAAGCTGGGATGCCTGCTGTAGTCGTAAGCCATGAAAACAGTGATGGTCCGACTGTGAGAGATCTCCACATGGAGAACTTCAATATTGCTGTTGGAGGGCGTGATCTTATTGTAGATGGTTGTGTGACGCTATCTTATGGAAGACACTATGGTTAGTTTGACTGGCATTCTACAAAATATCTGACTATTGAGTTTGACTGAGGAGAATATAATATCTTATTTTGTTGTAACGCTTTCCATTTAATCTAATTTATGTTGGCTTAGTCGTTGTTGTGGAAAACCAGTTGGATGGTCTAGTTCCTAAAAACTGCTTGATAGAACTGGAATTAGTTGATAGACGTAGTACTTTTTTGCTTTCGGTGAAGCAGCTTTCTGAAGTTCAAACTTACCTTCATTTAAATATGCACGCTGCACTTTGTAATTGTGAATTCTTAGAAAGTAATTATGGTGAAGCAAGTTCATTTCAAATTATCTCCTTTTGATGTTATGTGACAAATTAGAAGGAAAAGCGTTCTAATTAAAACGTGAATGGTTAATGGAGAGGAACTGTATTTGATTGGTATTTTAAGCATTTGAAGTTTTTTAACGAATTCATGTATACCAACAATATTTTTATGCCATTGGATGATCTTGTCACTGCTGCAGGTCTTGTTGGTAGGAATGGTACCGGTAAAACAACCTTCCTTAGGTACATGGCCTTGCATGCTATTGAGGGTATTCCCAAGAATTGCCAGATATTGCATGTAGAGCAAGAAGTAGTTGGTGATGATACAACGGCTTTGCAATGTGTGCTAAATGCTGATGTGGAAAGAATTCAGCTTTTAGAAGAAGAATCTCGTCTGCTTGCATTGCAGGTTGAACCATTATATTTCAATTGGCAGAAGTAACTGCTATGGTTCTTGTCTTCGATGTGCCTTAAACGTTTCTAGATTTCTCAATTTCTAAAGCTGTATAGAAATTATTTCCCATCAGAAAGAAATAGAGCCGGATGCGGACCCTGAGAAGACAACTGTGGAGCAGAATGGAGGAGTTGACAAAACTTCTGTTGCTCAGAGGATGGAAGCAATATATAAGAGGCTAGAGTTTATTGATGCTTACTCTGCTGAGGCACGAGCTGGGTCCATTCTTGCGGTTAGTTTTTTCAACCTTCATAAAGTGATAACATAATATTTACATCGTTTCTGTCCAAAAGGTAGGAAGTATCTTAAGCAGCTGTTTATGATGCTTTAAAAATAGTTTGTAGAAAGATGTTATTGGACATTTATTTTTTGTTTATAAATCCTATCATTAGATGATTTTCAAATATCTTTCATGTAGTCAATACCTTTGTTCGAATTTTTTATGGTATGTTTGAGAAATTTATGTGATTATCACTTCCTGTCCTGTGGTATTCTAGGGTAGGTAACTTGTTATGTTTCCAGTGCCATTTTCTGCCATTCTATCTTTACTTTAGTTAAAGGCTAAATAGATGCATAAACTTGTATAAACTAATAGTTGAAACCTTTGGCAACCTCACACTTTATTGATGAGCTTTAAATCGACCTTTTCTTTTTCCTTCCTTTTCTGTTCTTCTCAATTGACAAGATGTTTCAACTTTATGGTTGGATATCTAGTGCTCTATACGAATTGCCGTAAATTTAGATTCTTTCTTGTTTGGTTACTGATAATTGATCACCAAGCTTCCTATATACTCCCGCAAACTATGTTTGTAATGTCAACTTGCTGCTTGAATAACTGATGAAATCTTCGCTTATGCGGAAAATTTTCAGGGTCTCAGTTTCTCACCTGAGATGCAGAAGAAGCCGACTAGAGCTTTTTCTGGAGGATGGAGAATGAGAATAGCGCTTGCTCGTGCCTTGTTTATTGAGCCTGATCTTTTACTTCTTGATGAACCAACGGTATGTTAAGCATGTTACTGAAGCTCATTCACATAGTGTCTCTATTTATTTATTTATTTAATTTTTTTTCGAGGGACTGTAGTTAGTTATTAACGTACACAATTTCTGTGGCAGAATCATCTTGACCTCCATGCTGTCCTGTGGCTGGAATCTTACTTGGTGAAGTGGCCGAAGACATTTATTGTTGTTTCGCATGCTAGAGAGTTCTTGAACACTGTATGACTTTTCACCTCTTTAGGGTTCCATTACAAAATTTTGTTAATAACCAATTTATAACTACTTTGGTGCTTTGCTTAAACTAACGAAAATAGTATTTACTAATTACTTCATACAGGTGGTCACAGATATCCTCTATCTTCAAGGAAAACAACTGAGTGCTTACAAAGGAAACTATGATACATTTGAGAGGACAAGGGAAGAACAGCTCAAGAACAAACAAAAAGCTTTTGAGGCAAATGAACGTACAAGGGCTCACATGCAGGTGCTTTTTTTATATTTGATCTTACAAGTGACAATATCTGTCTGTGTATGCTACGTCGTGTATCTACTATTCCTGGTAGGATCTTGACCAAACCTTTTTCATTTTGAAAAATTGTCTTGCAGACATTCATTGACAAGTTCCGTTTCAATGCGAAGCGTGCCTCTCTTGTTCAGTCAAGAATTAAGGTAAGTTTATCATGTTACTCTTTTCTGTTATTGGTTCTTCACAATTTTAGAATGGCTGAATAGTTAATACTGCCATGATACTTTCAGTCCAAGTATGTTCAAATAATGTCAGAATCCACTGTTGTTAGAGGAAAAGGCAGTTCACCCCCTAAACTAAGACCTGTTTTGGCGCTTTACCCCCCAAACAAATTTGTTATTGGTTCTATTTGCTATTATTTTTTTATGTTCACTGTTCTCTCATCTGCATCATTCAGGCGCTGGATCGGTTGGGTCATGTGGACGAAGTTTTCAATGACCCTGAGTATGCATTTTTCGATAAATTTCTGTTTTCATCTTTTTAGTTTGTACTTATATATATATATATATATATATATATATATTGGCTTCAGCATACACTTTACTTTTTATTATCAAAAAACAATACTCGCTATATCTGGCTCATTTTTCGTGCTCATTTTTTGTTCGCAGGTACAAATTTGAATTTCCATCTCCTGATGATAGACCAGGAGCACCAATCATAAGCTTCAGGTATGATATCTGATATATCAGGCCACTTCATTGCTTATGTGGCTTGGGCTCATGAGCCAACTTCCTCAGCATGCTCAATTGTTGATTTTGTTGAGCAGGATCCACATACTTGAATTTTCTCCTCACCTTGAGTCTTGAATTTTCTCCTCACCTTTTTCCGATTTTCTAATTTAATTATTTATCTGTTGTTATTCTTTGTAACGAATGCAGTGATGCATCTTTTGGATATCCTGGGGGCGAACTATTGTTCAAGAATTTGAATTTTGGAATTGATCTTGATAGCCGAGTAGCGAGTAAGTCTGTTGCTGAAGTTTCTTTTTGGATGTCTGTTACTTAACTCTTGCATGGTCTATTTTGTAAATTGTATCTGCACCTTTAAAACTAGTTAATTTTTTTTGTCATGATAATGAATAGAATTGATAAAACGTATTTTTAGCATGTTACTTGAGGAAATTGCTCATATTCACATAAATGATCAAACATTTATGCATATACACATTGCAGTGGTTGGCCCAAATGGAATTGGAAAATCAACCATTCTCAAACTTATTTCTGGGGAGATTCAACCAAGCTCTGGGACGGTCTTCCGTTCAGCAAAGGTATCCAGTTCTCTTTCTCTCGTTACAACTATGGGTCAACAAAGTTTAAATGTCAGTACAATGTTGGTGCTTTAATGTACTCCATGCACAATTTATTCCTCTGACATTGGGGTAGTTATTCCTTTCTTTGTTTTATCATGTTAATTTTGTTGCTGTAATAGAATCTGACAAATATTATAATATAATTTTGTTTTGGTTCGGAGCAGACTCTCTTATTGTATAGTTGACTCATTTTTCCTGCAATGTTGTGTTTTCTCTTTCAGGTTCGCATTGCTGTATTTAGTCAGCATCACGTTGATGGCCTAGATCTCTCCTCAAATCCGCTTTTGTATATGATGCGTTGCTTCCCGGTAAAGAATATGTATAAATATGTACTAATTGACAATTTTCAGTTTGGTCTTGTTTGTTTGCAAGTTTTCAAATACACATGTATTTGCGATGTGCAGGGAGTGCCAGAACAGAAGTTAAGAGGACATTTAGGTTCGTTTGGAATAACTGGGAATCTTGCCCTCCAGCCTATGTACACATTGTCAGGTACTGTGTTTTAATGCATATGGTATTGAAAGCGAATGACATTATTCGTAAGTCAATTATCGCCCATTTTGAAATACTTTAAATGATATGCCAGGTGGTCAGAAAAGTCGGGTTGCGTTTGCAAAGATAACTTTCAAAAAGCCTCACATTTTACTTCTTGACGAGCCATCAAACCATCTTGTAAGTTTTTTTTTTTATTTATTTGTAACAATTGGACGTTAATAGATTAGTTGGAAATGCTGAAAGTGATCTCGTTAAAGAGCTCATTTCATTGTTATGTATGCGTTTACGGTAAAATGTAGCACATGGATCAACTAAAAAGGAACCTCGTATAAATACACCATGGAATAGAGTTTGATCTTGATCCTAATCCATTCCGAAATTGAAAAAATTGACACAATAGGGATTTTTTTCCGGAAATTGGTTTCAGTCGTACCTTATTAAGTATATGAAATGAATATGTTGAATTGAAACAACTAGTTAAATAAATGAATTCTCTCCGTTTTCTTGTGTTTGTTGTTTGTTCGTCTTTTTTGTTTTTTTCTTTCTCTTTCTGTGACTGTTATTAACACTTGATTGACAAAATTTAGGATTTGGATGCGGTTGAAGCATTGATACAAGGTCTCGTCTTGTTCCAAGGAGGCGTTTTAATGGTATTTCTACGGCTCCGTTGCTACTTTTTTTTTTAATAACTTTAGTGTACATCAAAAGTTTCTCTTTAACACTGATGAAATTTCACCCGATTGTCATCTTCTTCAGGTGAGTCACGACGAGCACTTGATATCCGGAAGTGTGGAGCAACTGTGGGCTGTCTCTGATGGCAGGGTCACTCCTTTCAACGGAACCTTCCAGGATTACAAGAAGTTACTGCACTCTCAATAAAATTCTGATCTACATACATATCTTTACAAATTTCACTTGCATGCAGTTTTTGCGTGTTGAAAATGTTGCAAGGCCCATCGGCTTCTCATATTCTCGTACGTTGGTAAACTACCGATATGTCGAAAAAATGCGAATTTATTTCTGTTATAAATATATAATTATGGTTGCCGATGTTTTTTTGGTTAAATTACATGTTATATTAAATTTCTTCTTGCTTAGAACTGCTATTTTTAATTAAATTGTGTAAATTTTTTACTTTATATTTCCCATTGTATGCGAATAGCGCACCTAAAAAAAAATTGAGGGTGCTGCCTCCGGGATCAAATTATTCCTTATAAATTCACCGATGTAGTGTTGGTCGTATTACGGTATTAGTACCGACGGATCGAAATTTCCCGATTCCACCTCTGAATAGTCTTGACATAAAAAGATAGCTCAAAATCTCCAATAATTGAGATGACTATAGGACATGTTTGTAACATTATTATTTTTTGTTATGCAACATAGGAACAAACAGATATTTACAACTTTTTATGATTGATTATCTTGTTGACTTTTCTTGTTTGGTTTGTTGACTTGTAGCTAAATGGACAATTGGTCACGCAAAGCTGGATCAATAGAGACCTTGATGTGTGATAATGTGAATGGAGGTCGGTTGACCAAATGGTCCAGACCATAAATTGATTTCCCAATTCACATTATTGGAATCCCAAATTATGGCCCCAATTTTAAATTGATAAGTCAAATATTGACTAGTGACTACCACTAGAAAAGTTAGGAGCACTCCACCACCTTATTACGTGATGTATAGATAAGATTAGGTGTGTAAATTGGAATTAGACAATATTTTTCATTCCAAATTCCAAAAATTCGATTATGATTTTTTCTAAAAAAAATTTTCAGATCACAATTGATCAGATTTTAATTTCTGAATTCCCTCTCAAAGAATGCAAATCCCCCAAATTCGGCGTCCACACTCTGCTTAAAGTTAAAGCATCCACAGGCGCTTTCCCCCATTTTAGGTGAACACAATTCCTTGCTCAAACCTTTTTTTTTTTTTTTTTTTTTTTTTTTTTTGCAATTGATCATCTAGTTGTTTAATTGTTCGTTCCATTGATGTATAAACAACAGGGTAATGCTCAAATTTTGGGACGAATTGGCGGAAATGTCGGTCCAGCATCTGAAGCCGTGCGATTTAGTTTACATTTCGGGTCGTCTAGGGTCGTACATGAAGGTGGACGAGAATGGGAAATCGATACCGTTTTATCAGGTTCGAAGCCATATTACGTATTACGAGTTGCTTGATCTTCATTAATCTGTTGATGTGATCACGTGTCGGGGATTTAAGTTTCTTTATTGTTTTCTAGTTCTGTCTAGTTACATTAAAAGCAATGTCACACCTTATCATAGGATTTTAGCATGTGCTGTTGTGCTGGTTGATGACAGCATCTCGAAAATATTCCACTAGTCTGATCACCAGTGTATATTTGTTACGAGCTCGACCAATTAGTAGCGTGCTCTTTAAACACAATTTTCAGCTGGAGAAGAACAAAGTTGATTAATAAAAAGATGTGCTCAAGATATAAATTTTATTTTTTACGTTTACTCATTTGATTTAGTGTCCGTATTATCCCTTTCTAGGTGTCCCTGGTACAAAGTCGGCTCCAACTTTTTTTTAGTCGACCTGAGGTTAGGTCAGCTCTAGTTAAAATTGATTCTCTATATTAGTATCAATATTCCTTCTCTAGCGTTGATAATGGATACAATTGACGTTTCTTCACTTCTCAAGATTCATGCATTTATTTGTTCGAGACGAAGAAGAATGAACAATTGCTTATTATACTGAAATTTGCAATTCGACATTGAACCATACACCAAATGGGCATTCGGGCTAACTGGATACGTATTAGAGAACTGTTACTCGCCTTCCGGGAGTGAAATTAATTTCAAACAGTGAAGATTTACACTCATTGAAACCACTAAAAACTCGTACGCCTTATATCCGTTCGATTACAAATTTCATATTTTTTTATTGCATGCTATTGATCTTTAAAGTGAATTTATCTTTAACATGTTGGCAATTAGTTTTGTTATTAGCTCATTCTCCATTATTTTCGTTCACCTTGTCTACGTTTTCGTAACTTAAGTTCTAGTGGCATCTATCAAACACTATTTCAACGTCAACTGTTTGGCGGTAGGAATTGAAGTTCTTGTGCATTACGATACTGTAAACAGTTTTATATAAACTAAAGTCTTTTGAGTTTCAGAGTACATCTATATCACGTTTGTTACTTCTCCGTGAGTTATATACTTACATGCAATCAGTTAAAAACAATGAGATCAAGTATTCTATCAAGGTATAGTAAACCCTCCTTACCCAGCCTAAACGTAAAATTAACGTGTTAATATGTGCTATAAAAATGAATAGATGTTAGAGCACAATGATCTTTATTACAGCGTACACTCTGTACACTTTCGTCTAAATATCTCCTCCCGTAATTACTGTGTTGTGTTGCTTAATATAATGCATTTTATATCTCTCTTTATTGAAAACGTTCGTATGTAGGTAGATGTTACAGAGGTAAATTTTGTTGCTCAACATGGTCTGCAACCAGCCGGCCAAAGCCTTGTCAAGTTTGAACCACAAGGTACGGTTTGTTTTACCTTTACTTCAATTGGTAATTTTCGGCTGCATGGTTTTTTATTTGGTTTTCTTTTGCACCATAAATCGATCTATTTTTTTTTTTGATTCAATTTGTTTACAGTTTCGACCGAAGAGAGAATACAAAATCGTAGAAGCCGACTTCATCTGTGGCAAATATTCTTTGCGAACCCATCTGAATGGTGGGACCGAAGAAGCCGTAAAACAAATCCAAGAGCACCCGATTTTAAGCACAAGGATACAGGTGAGTCACTTTGGCTCAACGAAAGTGACCCTCCATGGATTAGTAAGCAACTCCAATTGCATGATTCGAGATCGAGGGAACTAAGCCAAGGTGAAAACCGAAATGCTTGGTCACATCTTTCCCCTTTGGTTTATGATACACAAGATACATGATTTTTTTTTTTTTTTTTAATTTTTTTAATTTTAATTTTTTTTTTGGATTCAAATGGTGAAAAATTGAAATTGCTGTTTTTTTTGCAATTTTTTTTCTTCTAAAATCTGGACCTCTTCTCTGTGGATATTTTACTGTACAGAAATAGTGTTGGAAACAAATCTTTCTGAGATATATAAAATGATGGCTTACTTACATTAGTGGCCATTATTACATTGGAGTACTCTGTTTGATGCCCCATTTAGTTACCTCTTTGAGTTGTCCTAATAGAATTATTAAGGGCATCTCCAACCTTGTGAGGTAAAAGCATGGCTGTTATATCTATTATTGGTGGGGAACAGTGTTTTAGCAAGTGAATTTTAATTTTGCACTCCAATCATACCACCTATATTTATACCATTTATTATATTTAATTACTCTTCAATTTTCCTATTATAATAGGTATTTATAAATTATACAATCTGCCAAAGAATTAATCATAAATAGAAATCAAAAAGTTATAATGTCAAATTCTCAATATTAATAAAAACTATTTAAATAATTAATTTCTAAATTAAATATTAGTAATAAAATATTATAAGCATATATTAAGAATAAATATGTGGCACTTGGTAGCTGGAAGTTTCATTTCTTCTACAAACCAAAATTAATTTTTATACTTGGAAGTCTTCTTTTTCCCACTGCTTTTGTTATTATTTTATTATTTTTTCATTTAACTGGTGTGAACAGGAGCTGGTATACATAGCAGCTGGACAATTGATTTTAGCTGACCTGCTAAAATTTAGCTTTCCCGTTGGAGTTCAATTTTTCGTTCATAAATGGTATAATCATTTATTTTTAGCAGATAGCATCCCAAAAGTGGGATGGTTGGAGATGCTCTAATAATATTATTATTTATTATTATTATTGACTAAAGGGTATTAAAGTCATTTCCTGAGTCAACGAGCATTTGCTTTAAGTAACATTATTAGATTCATTTTCGTCTTCACTAAACAGTAGTATCACTCTTGTCACTATTTGGTTCACTACGAATTGACATAAAGCTGAATTTACATTTAGGGCATCTTTTACTAACCTTTTAATATCTTGTTTTTAGGATTAAATTTTGAAATATCTGGATAATAAATTTATCAACTATTTTACTCTTTATAAGAGGTTAAATAAAAATGGGTAAGTGTATTTTTAGAAAAAAAGTCATATTTGGCTCTCTAGCAGTTTATTGAAATAAATAAAGGGTAAATTATGGTCGACCTCCTTAAAGTATGGTCAAATTATGAAACCCCCACATATTTGAGAAATTACAACCACATCCTCAACTACGAGTCTTCTTACACGTCCACTCTTGCGGTGTTAAATTTAGTGATATCTTCTAGATTATGTGGAATATTCTTGAGTTTGTGCTCGTTTAGTGCAAAAATACAGTTTCTGATGCACCACAATCTGATATTTAGAAGCTATTAGACACATCTCATGATCCTCTTGTTTCAAAAAATGTGGAGCTCGAATGGGATAAAACAGGTACAAATTGGATATCCACATAATCAAAAATATTCCACTAAATTTGACACCGCAAGGATGGACGTGTAAGACGATTTATAGTTGATGGGGGTTGTAATTACCCAAATATGAGGAATTTTTTGTAATTTAACCATACCTCAGGGGGTGGCCGTAGTTTACTCATACATTAAAGATCTTTTTTCTAAAAAAATACCAAACACTTTGGAAGAACTTATCACTTATAAGCTCTTCAATATATTATAAGCTATTTTTAACATATTATGATATTAGCCAAACACTCTTTTAATTAAGTTCATTGAATAAATGAACTACAATAAATTCTTTTTACTAACTCATACTTTGTGTCCCCTTGAAGGTGGTATGAAACTTTAATGTAAAAAAAGTTCCAAGGTGAATAAAGTAATAACAAAAAAGTAGAGGAGTTCTTTTCAAATTTCAACACAATTTGTCAAGAAAGTTAAAAAATATATTGCAATGGGGGCCCACATTGATTTCTTTCTTGAGTTATCAAGATGTGGCAAACTTTATAGAAAAATTCCTAACTATCAAAAAAAAAAAAAAAAAAAAAAGAAAGAAAATAAAGAAAAATTCCTCACGGAGGCGGCTTTACTTATATATGGACTAAAATTAATGACTAGTTCACCAACTTTGGATTGAATAAATAATATCTTACAATTGATATCTTGTAATGTTTTATTTCTTTATTTGTTAGGTATATGTTAGAATTTACAATTTTTTTTTAAAGCATAGCCACAACTTTAATTTAAAATGATTCCTGTATTTCTTTTTTAATAAATATTGTCCCTCTCCATACTAATAATTTAGTCCATAAGTAGCAAGAAGCCAACAATTGCTTTGTGACAAACAATTTGTAAAATTAGCAAGAACTACATAATTGAATGAGGATTCAAATACTAAATGATTAAAAAAAAAATTATTGTTAATAAATAATGTTGATAACGATATAGTGATCAGTATTTTTTTAAGAAATTGAGCCACATGAATATATTCCAAACTTTATATTATATGTGAAGATATTTATTTACAAAAAGAAATTATATATTGTGTTGTTTGTTATTAAGTGTATTTTGTTTTTTTTTAAAAGATAAGTGTATATAGTTTACTACATTAGATGGTTATATAAACATTCCTACCCCGTAGAAAATGAGGAGATGGTGCATTGAAGAGATGGTACAAATTCAACCGTCTAAAATAAAATCTGGAATATTAAATGTTGTTTCAATTCTATTAATATTGTTATGACTTTAAAAGTAACTTTTTACTTTTTCTTAGTCTGATTTTGGAAAAATTCCAAATATGAAAATCGTAGTCCTTTGATATAGGTTTCTAACCCAACTTAAATTAACTAGATCGGATATCGGGTGGCAAAATTATGCATGAACAAAGTTACATTTTGAACTTTTTTTTTAGAAGATAATGATAATATTATTAAGCAAAAAAGGCTATAATCAAAGGGAGGATCCAACCCTCACATCCCATAAGTCCGACATATTTAACTAATGCATGAGTAAGGTTGTTACCTGAGCGTTTAATAAACAGAAAAGAACAATGCCGAAAATAAAATGACAAATGATTACATTCTTCCACCAGAGCCCCAAAAGATGAATATTTAAACACGCTCTCCAAATAAAAACCCGTATTTTTTGGGGGCATTTTCATCTTCCAAATATCCGTTCACCTATGATTTGTCAATCGGTTGTTTGCCCCTTCTCGCAGTCGCTCATCTTCTTGAACCAAATACATTCTCGATAGGGTTAGGTGATAGCAAGACTTAACAGTAAACTTACCTTGCGTCGAAAAATGCATATCATCTTATCTCGTATATGAGAGCTTCCAACGGGAACAACCAGAATGAGGTCTCGATCAAATAGGCCAGAAGATACTCGATATTAAAGGAAGATTCCAGGTGTGCATTGTATGATCGATGAGCTTTTGATAACTCAATAAAATCAAATATTGCGATAGTGTTCATTGATTCATGCATACATTTCACACCCCAGATTCAATCTTGATGATTCGAGTTGGATTAGAATGCTAACTTACACAACTATTAACTCCGTATTTTAAGTTTTGCTAAATTCAATCTTAAAAATTGTTAAAATTACATTTAAAGTTGAAAATATATTATTTAAGATGAAACAACATTTATCACATTCCAAATAAAATATATGTGAAGGAATACAACAAAAAGCCGAAATACATTTATCAATGCCCAGAATTATTGATCTCTAAACTTTCTAGAGGGCCATCATTATTATTATTACATCTTTTTGGCCCACTAATAACAAATTATTTGTATTCAATCAATTTATACAAACGAAAATTAATGAAATGCTATTTACGGTCACAAAATTGCTATTTGCGGTTTTTCACAAAACCCCCCAAAACTTTAAAAAAAATCCAAAAACCCCCCAAAACTGCAAATAGCAAAAAAAAAAAAAAAAAAATCGAAAATTCGAAATCAAGCTTGAAGAAGGGTTGGGCTTCGATTTTTTGATGTAATTTCGACTCTTTCATGTGTAATATGCATTCGGTAGGTCGATTACAGAACCAATTTCATATTAAAAAGCCCTACAAATTGATTTATGTTCGAACGCCGCGTGAAAATTATCACCTTTAAGTTCTTTCTGCACATTATTACAATGTGACCGCCACCAGGGCTAATCTCGTAATTTCACATAACAAACGTCGTTTTCAGTACTGTTTTTTCTACTACCATAAAAACACCCCCCATTCCCACTAAGCAGAGTTGCGGTGCTCACTTGCAAAAATGGCGGTAACAGATTTCTTCGCCGGCGAGATAGCCACCGAACTCCTGAAACAGCTGATCACCATCTCCAGAAAATCCGCCTCGTGCCGCTCGAGCGCCGAGCATCTCATCCTCTACATGCAGGATCTCCTCCCGATCATCCAGGAAATCAAACTCTCCGGCAACGAGCTCCCTCAGCACCGGCAGCGCCAGCTGGATCAATTCTCCGAGACTCTCACCGGCGGACTCGAATTGGCGAACAAAGTCCTCAATTCTCCCCGCTGGAACGTCTACCGGAATATTCAATTGACACGGAAGATGGAGAAATTGGAGAAAACCGTTTCCCGATTCATGACCGGACCTTATGCAGGTATGATATTCATAGTTTCAATTTAATTTTGCCTCAAATTGAAAATGAGATATTACGATCGTGTCCTTTGCCGCCGCAGGCGCACGTGCTGGCCGACGTGCACCACGTGAGGGTGGATATGGCGGAGAGGTTTGACGGGCTGGAGTGTCGGCTGGGGGCCATGAAGATTGGGGCGGACGGCGACGGTGGGTGCCTGGGGGCGGCGGTGAAGAGGGTGGAGGAGGAGGAGAGGTGGTGCGAGGATAATTTGGTAAATTTGGGTGGTACTGGTTTGGAGTTGGGGAAGATGAAGGTGAAGGAGATGCTGATGAAGGGGAAGGAATCCAGTGTGGTCGAAATTCATGGGATCGGTGGCGTCGGAAAAACCACACTCGCCAGAGAAGTTTGTAAAGATTCCGAAATTAAGAGTAAGACCTCCTTCTCTAACCTATATCGAATTATATTAGATTAGATTGAATTAAATTAATCGAAGGGCAGGGCTCGGGTGGAAATTGGAATACAATTTCTGATTTTGAAACAATATTTTTCATTCTGCATCCGGAAAGTTCCGATTTCCAAAATTTCCAATTCATTTCAAAGGATTTTTTTTTTTTCCAATCCGGTTTTAGTTTTCAAACATTTCTAATTTGTTTCTGAAAACTACACTTAGAGCTCGTTCGGTTACCGCCATAAGGTTCGACTACCGCTATAAGGTTCGACTGACTAAATAGTAGGGGCTAATAACAATTTAATCCTATATAGGTAACCAAACGAGCCCTTATAATATCAATATCATTATGTATTTTATACTATATGAGTATAGATAACTAAAAAAATGTAAATCCTGAATTCCACCTATTCTGATTTGAAATTTCCGATATTAAAACAATTATTTTTGTTCCAATTTCCAAAATTCCGAGTTTCGGTTTTTTTTTTCAGATATTTTTGGAACGGGATTGAAATTAGTTTTTTCTTCCAAAAAATTGGAATTTTTCTGAAAGTTCTAAATTTCGATTTGATATGTCCGATTTGCATCCCTAGTTAGGTCGGTTTTGTAGATGCTACACCCGGTGAAATACACATGGTGATCTTAAACCATAGTTCTACACATAATAACACACACACACCCATTTGTATGTGTGTTTAGTCGGTGGTTATGTCTATTTGTATAAATCCATGGTTTAAAATCACCCGATGTATTTCACTGGGTGTAGCATCTCATAGACCAGTTAGGTATACTAATGTTATTGATTATCAATATATAAATACGGGCTTCACCCTTTATTGCGCTCTGAATTAGTTTGAACCTTCTCAACTGATCATGTTACGGATTCTCACTATTTAGTCAATAGTGGCAACCGTAACCTAACATTTTTATGTCTTATTTGCTTTAGAGATTAATCATAGTACTTAAAGAAGTGAAGTGTTTCAACAATTGATTCCGTTTGTTAATTCCCGCAGGCTATTTCAATAACAGGGTGTTCTTTCTCACTGTGTCTCAATCTCCGAATGTGGAGCAATTGAGGTCAAAAATTTGGGGAATGGTATCAGGGAATTCCATTATGGATAATAGCAACAGATTTCCACAAATAAACTTACAATACCAAGTCGGAAATTCTGCACGAGCCCTATTGGTTCTTGACGATGTTTGGACACTGTCGGTGCTCGAACAACTATTGGTCAAGATCCCCGGTTGCAAGATCCTAGTCGTTTCGCGGTTGAAGTTCCCTCCTTCGGTTATCGATTGCTCCTATGAAATGAATTTGCTGACCGAGAATGAGGCTATGTCCTTGTTCTGTCACTTTGCTTTTGGACAAACTTCAATCCCTCTTAGCGCTGATAAGGAATTGGTTAAGCAGGTAATTTGAACGCAATTTTCGAATTCTGCCGATTCCTATCCGATCCGAATATTTTCGATTTTGGAACAATAAATTTTACTCCGAATTTCAAAAGTTCCGAGTCTCGTTTTTCCGTTTTGTTAACGGAATTGGATTACATAATGGATTCCCATTTTTTCCGGAAATTTACACATTAAATATCTATCTTATTTTGTATTTTATATTATAGGTTACTGAAAAAATAGAACAATTTTTTTCATTCGAATCTCCGAAATTTTGTTTTTTCCTATTTTTTTTCGGAACGGGAATGAAATTAGTTTTTCACTTTTGAAAAAAATTGGAATTTTTCCGGAAGTGCTAATTTCGATTTGATCCGTCCGATTTTCACCCTAATTTTAAGTAAACCGTGATTTATTTATTATTTATTATTATTTTTTTTGTTTGGCTTGTCAATGCTTGAGTTGAATATCTAATTTTGAATAGGTTGTGGATGAATGCAAGAGACTTCCATTAGCTCTAAAGGTGATCGGAGCTTCACTCAAGGGCCAATCCGAAATGTTCTGGACAAGCGCAAAGAACCGTTTGTCTCGAGGACAACCTCTTAGTGAGTCCCATGAACTCCAATTACTCGAAAGGATGAAATTGAGCATCGATAATTTATCCGAGAAACAAAGGGAATGTTTCTTGGATTTGGGTGCATTCCCCGAAGACAAGAGAATTCCACTCGATATACTTATCAACATGTGGGTCGAATTGCACGATATGTACGAAGAAGAAGCTTTCGCCGTATTGGTTGAGCTTTCGGACAAAAATCTACTTACCCTTGTGAAAGACGCAAGGTATGCAATAATGCGATTACCTTAAATTTTTGGATTCTTCAAATAAACGAGTTTTCTTTACATTCTTTGGTTGTTTTAAATACGATTTGCATGATTTTTTTGCAGAGCTGGAGATAAGTACAGCAGTTATTACGAGATTTCTGTTTTTCAGCACGATGTATTGAGAGATCTTGCTATACATTTGTGTAATCTTGAAGGGATAAATCAACGGAGGAGATTACTCATGCCAAGAAGAGAAGAAGGGCTGCCGAAAGAGTGGGAGAGAAATGTGGACGAACCGTTTAATGCTCGAGTTATTTCGATACATACAGGTATAAAACTAAAACCTTCTGATGATGATTGTTTAATTTTGTTAGAGGGTAATAGAGATTTTTGTTTGTGGAAAACTAGGGGTGGAAATTGGATCGGAATTAACACTCCCCAAAAATCCCGATTTTTTTCGGAAGTGAAAACTAAATCCGATTCCGTTCCGCAAAAAATCAAAAAAATCGAAAACAAGAATTTCGGAAATTAGAATGAAAAAAATTGTTCCAAAATCGGAAATATTTGAATCGGGATCAGAATCGGAATCGGATTTGGTGGAATTTGGAAATTCCAATTTTTCATTCACCTAGTATATAAATTATAAAATACATGATAATATTGATATTATAAGTGTAATTTTCGGAATAAATTGGAATTTTTGGAATAATTTTCAGAAATTAAAATGGGATTGGAAATTGGAATCCCATATATATTTCAATTCTGATTTAAAAAAAAAAAAAGCGGAAAAATCGGAAATAATTCTTTTTCGAATTTGGAGCGAAAATTGAAATACATTGTTCCAAAATTGGAAAATTTCGAAATGGAGCCGGTATAAATCGTAAATTCCTTTCCAATTTCAAGCCCTATGAAAAACTTCTAATTTTCTTTCCTACATGTTCTGATGCAGGTGCAATGACTGAGATGGATTGGTTACAAATGGACTGTCCTAAAACCGAAGTACTAGTCCTAAACTTTTCATCACCCGAATATTCCTTACCTCCTTTCCTCGAAAAAATGCCGAAACTCCGAGCCCTAATACTAATAAACTACAGCACTTCCAACGCAGTTCTCCACAACACCTCCATTTTCAGCCACCTAACCAACTTAAGAAGCTTATGGTTCGAAAAGATTTCCCTCCCTATATTACCCCAAACAACAACACCCCTCAAAAGCCTCCAAAAAGTTTCGCTAGTATTATGCGACATAAATAAAACCATCAATCATTCAGTTATCGGATTACCCCATCTTTTCCCCCGTCTCTCCGAGCTCACAATGGACCACTGCATCAATTTGACCGAACTGCCCCCGAGCATATGCCAGATGCAGACGCTCACGAGCTTGAGCGTCACAAACTGCGACAGCCTCCAGAAGCTTCCGTCCGATTTGGAAAAGCTTTGCTCCTTACAAATCCTGAGACTCTCCGCATGTCCGAACTTGAAGAAGCTTCCGGAAGGTTCCGGAAGCTTGGTCCGGCTTAAATACCTCGATGTCTCGCAGTGCGTTAACATGGGATGTTTGCCGAAGGGAATCGGTGGGTGTGAGAGTCTTGAGAAGATTGATATGAGAGAGTGCCCTCAGATTAGGAGCTTGCCGTTGTCGGTCGGGTTATTACTGTCACTAAAACGAGTTGTTTGCGATGAAGAGGTTTCTTTGCTTTGGAAAGATATGGAGAAAGTTAGGCCAGGGCTGTGTCAAGTTCCTCAGGAATGTTTTACTCTTGACTGGCTTGATGAGTAAATAGTACCTTTTCTTGAGTTTGTTTCTGTACTAGGTTGTCTTAAATTGGGATTAATATTTATCAGGCTGTAAATATGATTATCTGATGTTAATATGTATTATGTAATCACCAGTGTGTTTAAGTGAGTCTGTTTGGTTTTAGAGAGACAGATTCAAGGGAGTTAGTTGCTCATTGATGAAACATATTTTTCACTTCACCAGTTGGTTTTTATAATTACTGCCAACACCTGATGTAAGGTCAAATTACGATAAAAATTTCTCCTGTTTGGATAATTACAACCACCGCCTTTAACTATGTATTGTTTTACAAAAAATCCTTCATTCAGTAGGTAAATTTGACACCGTAAGAGTGGACATATAAGACAGTACATAGTTAAGTAGGGTAGTTGTAATTATCCAAACGTGAGGGGTTTTTTTTTCGTAATTTAACTTTACCTCAAAGGTGGATGTAATTTACCCATAATAGATATTTGATGATAGCGATTAGTGAGTAAAATTTATGATAGCTTAAAGCCGAGGATGTTCGTAAATATCCTACGAAATCAGTTTCTGAATTATAACTTAAACCAACTTATTTATTTCCGGAAAAAAATGTTAAAATTCTGTTGGGAAATCTATCAGTATACTTCAAATTACTTACACATATATTTTGAATATATAACATTATTTTCACAAAAAAAAAAAAAAAAAATTATATGTAAATTAACACAAGACGTACAACGCACGTCTACTTTTGTAGTTGAAACTTTTCTAGTTGAAAAAAAAACCCAAGAAAGACAAGCTATGTGGACCCTTTGCAGTGACACCATTGATAAATTAGTTCCAATAATTTATTTCTTACAAGAAATAATATATATGAATTCATTTCACATTACTTTTGAGAAGGAACTTGGAAGCATGGAATGTCTAATTCACATATATATTGTCTGAATCAGACAACTTACAGACACGTCACACCCTACCTTATATTGTACATAGATCTAAGCTTCTCTTTTCTACTAAAAATGGAATATTCTCAAAGGAATAAAGGAATAAAGGCACGGGTTTCGTAATAAGTAGAGTGACGTCGTTTTGAGTTATTTGGGACGACGTCGTTTCACTAGAGGGTTAGTTGAGATTGGTTACGTCTGGTAGTATTATTTGCAGGAGTTGGTCATTGGTGACCTGTAGTACTATAAATAGCTGAAGGAATGAAGGAAGATATACGTTTTTCCCATTTGATTTTTACCGTTTCAGATTCATCTTGTTTGTGCATTTTCTTCTCACTCTCAAACGAGCACTTCCCACTTGCATCTTACCCTTTGGGTTGATCAATTGAGTAAGTTGGAACATCGCCAACAGCTAGGGGTGGAAATCTAACGAAAAAATTTCAAAATTTTTTGGAAGTAAAAAAATGATTTCCAATTTTCGTTCCAAAAAAATCGGAATGCAAAAGTTGATTCCGATTTCAGAATGACTCGGAATCGGCGGAATATCAGAAATTACATTAGTTTATAATCTCTTTGTTCCAAATTGGGACATAATTATTTTTCTATATTTGAAAAAAAAAATTGCAGGAAAATCCAAAAGTGAGTTCGATAAAACACAATAAATAAAAACACATGTAGAAACAACAAATTGAAACATAGATTTTCTTGTAAGGAAAAATGCTACATAAAGATTCTTTTCTAAGGTTTTAATTTACCTGACTGACCCTTCGGTACTTATATTTTCCATGTAAAATAAAACAAATTATATCATGGAATTACAAAATATATCATAAAATCATATAATATATTTCGAAAAACCATAAAAATATCCGGAACTAAAATCGGATCGGAAATCGGAATTTCCAGTAATTTTATTTACCATTCCAATTCAGTTCCAAATAAATTCAAAAGAAATCAGAAACCGAAAATCAGAACTTCGGAATGAAAATACGGTTCCAAATTCGAATATTTTCGAATCGGAATTGACGGAATTCGGGAATTCTATTCCGATTTCCACCCCTACCGACAAGTTGTCATCGGAGCGGTAAAGAGTAGGTCAGGGCATAACACGAAAAACAGAAAACAAGTACCGAAAAGAAGTCGTCGTCAAAATGTATCGATAATTCCGACTTATATAAGATGGGCGGCGGATATATGCAAGCCCATTTTTTTATTAGTTCAAGACCTCTAACATAAAAATACTAATTTACCCTTAATGAAATTCAAAAGCAAAAATCGGTATCCGAAAACTGATTTTGTACTCAATAATCGAAATTACAACGCCGATTTTGGTTAACAAAAATCGGCATTATGACGCCGATTTTCGTGTACAAAATCGGTCTGGATAAACCGATTTGAGAAACCAACGAAAACACACAAAAAAACCAATTTCAATCTCAATTTTTTCCAAAATCGGCTAAAGCATTGCAACCCAACAAGAAATAATAGATTAATGTTCACCCATGCATATTTATCAAGAATCGATGCTCGATTAATGTTTTCGAATTTACAAACAAAAGTTTAGTAAAAATGACTTGCTTGTTGGTGGTGGTGCGGTGGTGATGGGGCGGTGGGTGGGTCACTGGTCGTCGACAGCGCGGTGGAAGTCTTGTTTGTCGGCGTCGCGACGGTCTGCCGGCGATAGTCGTGATTTTTTTTTTTTTTTCCTTTTTTTTTTTTGTTTTTTTTGAATTTTTGGTCTTGAACAAATTAAAAACAAGGTTTGTTTGTATTTGAGTATTATTTCTGGATGAGGATATACTCGTCATCTTTGGTCTTGATGTAATAAAATTAAATTAATATACGAACTTGAGCTAATAAACCCATTTATATAGATTTGAACTAATAAAAAAATGGGCTTGCATATATCCGCGGCCTATAAGATGTTATAGTTTTAGCTCAATTGACTAGCTCTTCAAATCACATTTTACAACATGACATTGACAAGAATACTTCTATTATTCGACGAGTATATAAAGCTGTAAACAGATGCATATCCATACATTCTTTTTAAGCGCCTTACTAATTATGTTCGAAACTCTCTCTAAGAGAATATACAAAGCATAATTTAATAATCAGAGAAATCTAGTCGGAATGTACTCGTTAATTCTAAGAGGGTAGCTGTAAAATTCCTCGTTTCTGCTATCTCCTTTTCGATGATGGAACGGAATCAACCATGGAAGCCCTCGTTCTTCGACTGTATGCCTGGCTTCAAGTGTATTGTCCAGAATCGTTCCCACAGTCAGTGCCACGGTAGGCGGTGACGAAAATATTGTATTCAATATATCATTAAACTGCACAAAAAAATAAAAAAATATTGTATTTAATAGATAAAAAAATTGCATTTTATTATATGAAAGAAAGGGCAAATTACGGCCACCCCTGAGGTATGGCCAAATTACGAAAAAAATCCCTCTTGTTTGGGTAATTACAGCCACCCCCTCCTTTTAAATATTTTTACATAAAATTTATGTAATTCGTTTATTTACCGAACCAAATCGTATAGTTTGGTAAAATGTTGGCGTACCGAAATTTACCGATTTAACATCCCTAAATTTACCACTGGAGGGGTATTTTCATAAGATAATACATAGTTGAGGGGGTGGCTGTAATTACCCAAACAGGAGGGGGTATTCGTAATTCGACCATAACTCTGGGGGTTAGCCGTAATTTGCTCATGAAAGTAATGTAGAAAGAAGACAAATGCATAAATAATTATTATTACCCATCCTCCATTTGTTCTGACAGGTCCATGTCCAGCTCCGTCGGTGTTCGTGATGAAATATTGAGGTATCGAAATACCCAAAAACAAAGAGATGCCCAATATGTAGATATTCCTCATCGAATTGTTGTTTGTGAATTGTATAAACGAAATCCCGATAGCAGCTGTCGGAACAAAAGTGAGAAACTAGTGACATTCGTGTAAGAAGAAAAAGAAAAACGAAAAAAAAAAAAAGAGTTGAAAATTACTCACCAACAATACCGTATAAGATACAGTATATGGCGGCAAATATTGGCAGAGGAATCGATGCGAAAAAGGCTCCGAATTTACCTGTAATGATAGAGTTCTCGGTTATGAATACGTTGTATCTTTTCTCTCTCTTCGATTTTTTTTCGTTTTTACTCCCAACTTTCTTAGCTCAGCGAATTAAGAAACAAGAAAAGAAAAAAAAGAATGTATAGAGTTAACGAACCGAATATGGAGAAAAAGATCATGAAAGCGGTTGATATTTGAACTACTCTTCTGCTCCCGACACGAGTTAGTCCCAAAAGGCCGACGTTTTCACTGCAGTATAAAGTTGTCATATACAATATTTTGCATTTCGAACTCTGAAAGTTCCGATCTTCGATCCGATCTTAATATCCGAAAGTTTCAAAAAAAAATAAAAAAATCGAACATTTTAGAATATCAATATTATTATGTATTTTATATCAAAGGTAACTCTTGGAAAATGGAAATTCCAATCCGAAAATTTCCGATTTGGAACAAGTTTTTTCATTCCAGTTTCTAATTTCTTTGATTTGTTTTGGAATTAGTTTTCCATTTCCGTTTTTTTTTCCAAAAGTAGTACTAGTCTAATTTTGATCCGAAAATTTCCGATTTGGAACAAGTTTTTTCCCAGTTTCGAATTTCTTCGATTTGTTTTGGGACATAATTGGAATTAGTTTTCCTTTTCCAGAAAAAAAATGGATTTTTTTCCCCAAAGTACTACTAGTCGAACAAATTCCGATCCGTCGAATTTCGAGCACTAATTGCAGGAGTAGATGAAAAGATAAACTAGATTCTTACACGGAAGCAGTAGTACCAGCAGCAGCACCAAATATCCCTTCAAGCAGCTGTCCTATACCCTGAAACACAGCGTTTTGTTCCAAAAGAAAAACGTGTCAAAAAAAAAAAAATATTAAAAAAAAAAAAGAAGCGTGATCGGAACTTTCCGGACCTGCAGACCGATGCTCCTGCTCAGCACATGCCCCGGAGGTGAAGTGGCACCCGCAAGCCGTGCAGCAGCATAAAATGTTCCAGTGGACTACACAATACACACAACAAATAAAAAATTTGTAATTTAAAAATGACAAGAAGGGCATAATAGTCATTTTAGAGGTAGAGAAAAAAAAAACGAACGAACCTCGGCAGAAGAAACGAGTGCAGCTCCCATCATCCCAAATACATGACTAGCTCTGAATATAGGTGTACCCCACTGAAATGGATACGGAATCTTGATCCTATAATAATAATAAAATTAAATTAAAAAATAAAAAAAAAAAGAAAAAGAAAATCAAGATACACGTAAAATGAGGAAAAATAATATATACCATGAAGCGGATGACATGAGAAAAGAGCGATCGGTTCGGCAGCTTAATTTGGTTTGTTGCTTGACGTTGTTGTAAGCACCTGCAACTGTAAGAATTGCAGCGAAAGCCCAAACGAGCGCAGTGCACACAAGCAAAGCGTATCTCTCAAGCATGGGCCGAGCGATTGGATGTATGTGTTGCAAGTACTGCATGCACATCATTGCATGGTTATTACTGTACCGTTCATTTAGAGCAGACTAGTTGCAAATATCACGTGATTCGTATAATTTTAGTAAATTACTTGGTAATTTAATCGATCAATCTAAACAATACAGAATTATTCCAAAATTTCAAAGTTGACATGATGACGAAGAGTATAATCTATTTACATTAATTGTGACATCAATTGCATTTACCTAACTAACCATAATCAACCTATCCATTTGAACTTAGTAACAGGGGTAATAATAGGTTAGGGTAAATTACGGTCACCGATGAGGTAAGGTCAAATTACGAAAACTCCCTCCTATTTAGGTAATTACAACCACCCCTCAACTATGAATCTTCTTACACGTCCATCCTTATGGTGTCAAATTCAACAGAATATTCTAGATTCCGTGGAATATTCTCTAGTTTGTACTTGTTTTGTGCAAAAATACAGTTTCTGAATGCACCACAATATCTGATATTTACAAGCCAAGATATTTACAAGCCAAGAGACACATTTTATAATCATCTCGTTTCAAAATCTGGAGCTCGAACGGGGTGAAAAAGGTACAAAATGGAAAATATTCTACATAATCTAGAAGATTCCACTGAATTTGACATCGCAAGGGTGGATATGTAAGAAGATTACGCAAACATAAGGGGTTTTTTTCGTAATTTGACCTTACCTCAGAGGGGTGGCCGTACTTTACCCTAATAGATTATCACATAAAAGTAAAGAAACAGAAAAAGAAAAACTCATGCTTTCATGGTAATAAATCCATACTTCAACTTACAGGTAGGGGTACAATAGTCATCCCACATAAAAGTTAAGAAACACGAAAAATATGCTTTTAAAATTAATAAGGAAAGATTGTCAATAGATGATTTCTTACTTGTTGAGAGACGACGAGGAGGATCAACATTGGTAGACCAATTTCCACACAATTACCGAGCTGTAAGACGACACGATAAGATACAGATATAAATACAAATAATGTTTCTCATGTTTATAATTGATCTTAATCGACGAAATTTAATGAATAAAATTTCGTTACCTGTGGGAATCCCCTCGAAAATAAGCCGAGTCCCACTACACAGACAGCTGGTACTAAAACCACTGGGCTGAAGAACCTGTTAAATGTAAAAACTTTAAGTACAGAGAAAAGGAAGGACCAGTGTAGAAATTACGGAATTAGCCCTGAAGCTACGAAGTCAAGAAAAGACGGAGGGAAAAAAAAAATACTAGAATGGTATTTTATATTACCTAGTAAGGTTTCCCCAGGCGTTGCTGTAACCGAGTATAATGTTCACAAACGATGATATTATAAGCGACCCTTGAATGGCTCTCATGGTGTGACTGAATCTCTGCGAAGCATCCAAACTCAAAAAGATTTAAGAATAATATAGTTTGTAATAACAAAAAGAACAGTACATAGTTTATTCACTTGATCAGTAAGAGAATCGAGGAGGGGAAATACTAAATCAGCACCTTAAACAAAATTTGCAATTCACCGATACATTACGAATTATTTATCAAGGCTAAAAAGACGGTACTGCATTTTAGGACAAGATTCATTGAACTTGAAAGCATTTTAGGACAAGAACTAGAGATTCTATAGTTATGCTATAACGATTATTAAAATAATAAAAGAAAAGCAACCCGAGTATCTACAGATTTTTTTAGGGTGGCCTAGATACGACAAAATCAAAACGTAGGTGAACTTACAATAACGGGTAAATAGCACTTAACTCCCCCGTGGTTACAAGTTTTGGCAGATGACCCCTTGTGCTTGTAATATCAGCACATAACCCCCCCTGCAACCCCGCGCGGTTGATGGGGTAGTTTCCATTTGTTTTTCCGTCAAACTTAACTGCGTCAAACTTAAATGCATGCGTCAAACATTTTTTTTTTTTTTTGGAGATGACCCCTTGTGCTTTCATTTTCCCTTTCATTTTTGTCCCTTTCATTTTTGCTGATAACCCCCTTGAAGTTGGACACACGCGCTTAAGTTTAAAGGAAAAACTAACAGAAGCTACCCCATAAACCACAAGAAGCTACCCCATAAACCACAAGGGAGTTATGTGCTGATATTACGAAGACAAGAGGGTCATTTGCAAAAGCTTGTAACTATAGAGAGGTTAAGTGCTATTTACCCTAAAATACGATTTCCAATTTATTTCTAATACAGCATTATTGGTAAATATCATTATTAGTGATCATTAGTACTATATGATTATCTGTATCGGAATAAGAAGTATTTAACTACACTTAATATGATTGCTCGATGCACGGTGATCATAGACGATAGATCATACGTCAAGGAAAAGAAAAAAAATATATTTCGACACGTGCAAGACAAAAATATCAACTCCCTCGCAATTATTACACGATTACTATAATCTATACAACACACAATTAAAGAATATATATACCTCGTGCTCGTTCGTGAAATCACTGTCGGATAAATCATTGATAATTGACAATACTGATATAACGTAAGCAAATGACGGGCCCATCACTGTCGGAAGACGCGTGCCGAACCATGTCTGCAGAAGTGTATTTATTCCCGACATAAAGAGCAATGATTGGATGACCCGAGCTTTATCACCCTGAATATAAGATTTTTTTTTTCCCGAAATGTTTAGATTACCTTAAAAAACATGTAATAAATTACTATAATTGGTCTGCTAAATGAACTTACAGGGCCGCCACCCATTCGAGGTACGAGTACAGAGGCGATCATAACTGTTGTTCCGAGCATGACGATGTAGTGTTGGAAAGCCAGCACAACTGTTTGCACTGCAATAATCGAAACGTACAATTAAATATAGGCGAATTTAACATGTGTAAAAATATTGTCTTGGAAGGAAAAATGAATTTTTTCTACAATTTATGCACAAGGAAATTGGTGGGAAAAGCTTGCCGATGGCAGTGGGGAAGCCAGTGTAGGGCTAGAGGGGGCCATGGCCCCCCACAAATTTTAATTTTCTTTACTACTATATATGTATATTTAATTTTTTTTTTGTATTGTGCTCCTATAATTTTTAACAATTTAGTTTTATTTTAAAAATAAAATTATTATTTTTTAATTGAAGAGAACAAAAAAAAAAAAATGTGTAACAAGTTGGATAAGGAAGTTCCGAATTGTAACTCGGAATCGGGGCGACTCCACTCTCAATTGAAAAACTTTCCACTGTATTATACCTTTATATTTATTTAAGCCATTCAATTTTTCTAATTTAGTCACCCAAATTCAAATTAATTAAAAAAAAAGTCCTAAAAGTTTTTCTTTTACCTATCTCACTTTTTAATGTATATTCGGACCCAGTGATAAAATCCTGGCTTCGCCACTGCCGATGGACAAGACTATCATTTTCAGACACAATAAATTAGCACATATTTCTTCAATTCTTTTTCGATCTTTTCTTAAATTACAAATCGAACCCAGAAATATAAAATTCATAAATTGCTTAAAAGTCCACTCAAACAGACATGCAAGTTGGGAAAAGCTAGATATTTTACAAGACTCTATTTTTCAGGCACAACAAATTAGTTATTCATTTCTCAATATTTTCTTAAATTACAAATCGAACCCATAAATATATAAAATTCACAAACCATGCGTAATTGAGCTTAAAAATCAATTATTTTTTTTAAAGAAAAAAAAAAAGCACAGAGCTAACCCCAAGAAGGATTGGAGTGGATGCAGTAATGGAGCTGAAGGAGCTGCTCTTGGGGTGGGTAAACAGTTCCTCTAGCAGAACCAAGCGGCGGCGGCGGCGCCAGATTCGGCGGCGCCTGGTGGTGGTGGTGGTGATGCTCCGTTTCCACCATCTTTCCTCACTGTTACTAGTAGTATTATGGTGTTTCTTTTTTCACCAGAACTGGATTCCAAGAATCACCGACACCTGAAATCTTGATTCACTTGAAAAGGTGGAATTTCTTTTTACAAAAATTGCAAAAAAGAAAGATTACAGAAATAAGAAAGAAAAATAAAATATTATTATTATTGTACGGGTCAGATGGTAATTTAATGCCCACCAGTTATTACACTGTACACTTATTTTTTTTCTTGCATATATATGATGAGAGAGAAGAAAGTAGATAGATACACCGAGGCTGGATTTGGTTTCAGTGAGAGCGAGTGATTGATGAGAGAGAAAGAGGAGAGAGAAAGAGATATAGAGAGAGAGGAGGGAGAGGAGGTTTTGATTACGTTAAGGTTTTGTCCCTTTCTAGGAACATAAACGCATGGGTGGTGGGTGCCGCGTGAGACCACGAACTTCGAGGTTTTTTGAGTTCCGAAAATGCCCCTTCAGTCCTGTCTCTATCACAGTTTTACCCCTCCGTGGCATCTACTATATTTGGACTCACAGGTCCTTTCATTCATGGTGTTTTTTTTTTGTTTTTACATACAAGGCGTTGTTTGGGTTGGAAGATTAATTATTATCAATTAAAGGGAAAATTATAGGCTCTGTTTGGTAAGCTTTTGGGCTTCTATTTCCATTTTATTTTGGAGAAAGATATTTTGGGAGAAGAATTTGAAAATTAAATAAAGTTTGTTTGTGTTTTGAGAGGAGATAATTTGTACTGTAGCAAGTCAAATCATGTCTAAAGGTGTTGGGAAAATGTATTTTGGAAGAAGAATTTAAAAGTTAAAGTGATTTGATTTTGTATTTTACTAAAGACAATTTTCACTGTAGCGGTCAAATCATGTTTGTTAGAGAGAGAAATATTTGAATTTGTTTTGGGGAAAGTTTTTAAAAATAGTGTAGAAAGATAATTTTTATTTTGGGGAATGTGAAAAGAATTTGAAAACGTTACCAAACGTAGCCTAGTTTTTATCTTTCAGATTTACATTAATTTTATATTTGGTCCCCCATATTCATAAAAAAATTTATTTTGTCCTTGTTAGAAAATTTCGACATTTTTAGTTATTCTCGTTAATTTTCCGTTAGTAACAACGGAATCAAACGTGTGCCTATTTTGTGTGAACACGTCAGACCAAATGTGTAATTGGCACAAATTTAAGAGGTGAAAACTGTAATTCTTTCACGAACTAAATAATTAAACTTTATTTGATATTTAGTATTCTCAATAATTTACTGGTTGATCCACAAATATTATATAGTAAAACCACAAAAAAAAAATACTTCAAATTTCTATTATATATATAGTAAAATATTTTATTTTCTATTTCAGATACATTTCTCATTCCATTGCCACTACTGAATTAATAGTAGATGTTAGTAACATATTTGGTTAACAAAATTCAAACTAATTTAAATTCAAAGGAAAATTTGAATTCGACAATATAATAAAATGCAATTATTCAATAAATTAGAAGGAAAAGAAAAAAGATTTTTATTATTAAAGTAACACATAATGGATAATTCATGTGAAAAAAAAAAATATTAGATAATTATAAAATTAGAGACTTCATGAAAAATTTACATCCAGTTCCAAGTTCTTATAAATTTAATACTAGAAAAAAACCATACAGTTTACAAACTAAATAATTGGTTCATTATTATAAAATTAGTGTAATCCAATATAATTTGACCCATCCAGCCTAACAAATAGAATGTTCATTTTGAACCAAGAATTTAATTGCATTATTTTAAAGATAAACTAATTAACAATAAAGTAGTTCAACAAGCCCATTAAATATATATTGGATAAACCTTCATTAGTCAACAAACAAAAGTAAGTGGTTGTCTACATTATGACTTTGATTTTATTAAAAATAATATTTTACTAGGTTTTTACCATGTTGGTTAAATTCTTTATATCTAAATCATGTCTAAATCATAGATAAAGTGTTAATTAAGATTTAAGACAGATTAGCATTGCCACTCACACACTTTTCAACTCTTTTGCCCACCTTTTTGTCTGCCATTAGCAACCAAAATACAAAGTAATTGCATATATTTAAACCCAAAATATCAGAACAAGATATTAAATATTAATTTTGATATTTAATATTTTATTTTGATACTTGTATAAATTTATTTGTTGCTCAAACCCTGATTGTTAATTAGAAATAAACAAAATGATTACATATTTAATTGCCACAATTAATTTTCTAAGTGGTCATTTAGGTGGTTAAATTTGTAACTCACATTTATTATTATTTCTCTGGCATGGATTTTTACATCGCAAGTTGTTAAATATCAAAATGTATTTTATAACTATGTCGGAGAAGATATTTTTTTTTAGTTTAATATCAAAATGGTAGTCAACTGTTTTGATATATAACTCATTTAATTATTCTATTGAAGTTGTTCCTACTAGTCAATAATGAATATTAATTAGGGATTATAAGAGAGACACCTAGGGATGACAGCGGAGCGGGTATCCTTGAAAAAGTGCAATACCAGAACCATTACCATTTAATATAGCTCAAACCATGACCATACCAAACCCTTTTAATAAGTTAATGGAAATACCAGAACCATTACCACGAATATCTAGGTACCCACGGGTACCCATTTACCATTTAAATTATGGTAATAAAAATAATTTTAGGTCCGATAATGTTTAAGTAACTCTCAGAAAAGAGGAAAAATAAATAAATAAATTATACAAATATATCCTCCCTAAATTATTTAATACTTTCTTTAAAATTGTGCCAATTTTTTTTATTCAAATTGTTGAATATATATATATATATATATTAAATGGTCGGGTACCCATGACCGTAAAGGTAAAACCAGAACCATACCAAAACCATGACGGTTTTCTTTTCTTTTACCAAAACCATTACCAAACCCTAATGGTTTCGGTGACGGGTTTTAAACGGAGCGGATACCCGCGGATAGCTAGCGGTTCGGTTTTTTTTGCCATCCCTGGAGACACCACTCAAATCAAATTTAATTAGATGTGAGTCACAATCCTAATTTTAACTTTTTAATCAAACTTATATTTTAAACAATTTGACGGACATTCTAATTTTTTTTTTATCCCTAACATACCGTTCCTTTATTAGTTACGTGAGTTTGGAAATAAATTAATTTCACCACTTTTCACTCTTAATTAGTTAGTCGATAAAAAATTAATAACAAGGGGTAAAATAGTAATTTCCATATTTTCTTCTATTACATTCTATACATATTTATTAAATTCTTTATATATATGCGCAACCAAAAAAACATCATACAGTATGAGATGGATCCGATCTATCCAATTCACACCTCTAGTAACAACTTTGAATTTCTAGGTGAATGGTCATAATGTTTAGAAGTGGCAAATAATGGTAATTTGGTACTAATATAACTCTAATTTAGGGAATTTGCATGTGGGGCGGTGGATATATATAGCTTACGGATCAAGGATATTTCAAAATTCGCGCCAGCACGTGAAAGATGCATGGCGTGTGGGGACTAGTCACCTAGCAAGTACCTACGTAGTAATTCTTTAATATTTTAATTAATATATGATAAAAAACCTTTTTACTTATTTATATCTTTAATTATTCTCTGCACTCTGTCTCTGCTCCATCTACTAATTAATATATTTTAAATGGAAATAACATCTTTCTTTTGTATTCTTTGCAAAGTGGTTTTATTTTATATACTTGAAAAGAATGTTGATGGGAAAAGATAAAAATGTTAAAGAGGACACGAAATAAACTAAATATACACTCTAATTATTTATCCCTAGTAAAATGCCAATTGTCATATGTTGCCACTAATTCTTGATTATTATCTGTATTACCTGTTCCAAAATCGGAAATTTAATTCTTGATTATAAGTATAATGTTGTCGGAATCTTCAGAAAATCGGATTGAAAATCAAAATCTACTACATATTCCAATTGAATTAAAAAACGGAATTAGAACTTTTGATTCGGAATGAGAAATATTGTTCAAAATCGAAAATTTTGGAATCGGGGTCGGCAAATTCGGAATTACTGTTCCGATTTCCATCTCTAGTAGCAAGAAATAAAACAAGTGCTAAACAACATACATACCAACTATATCATCAAAATTCACCACAAGATAGTCTCTGCTTTTACAAGTACAACACAAAAAGTTAGTACAAGAGTTCCACAAACATTAAAAAATAAAGGTCCGAAAACACCCGAAAAATCAAGCAGCGAGCGGATTGTGAAGCTGGCCAATAAAGAGCACGACACCAGTCAAATCTTCCCTTACAACGAACAAGAACGGATGATCCGCCACAAAGTCCATTTTTTCCTCCATCATCAAACCTTTGAGCCTAATCACACCAGCCGAAGCGGCTGCTGCTTCGGTACCTTCCTCGTTCACTTCAACAAACGCCTTGTGAAAAATGCTCGACACATACAAATTCTTCCCCTCAACAGTCGAGTCAACCATCTCACTTAAACCACCCTCGGAAAAGGGAAGCACCACCCCAAGTCCCTTGAGAACTTCCGAAGCCTCGAACCCGAATCCAATTTTGAATTTGGGGATTAGGAATTCGCCGGTTTTGACTTTCTGGTACGGGATGTGGCTCTTGACGAATCCCGATTTGGAGTTGACTTTTTCGAGCAGAGCCGGGAGTCCGTCTTTGGCGTCTGGAAGAAAGAAGTACATTGTGAATTTGCGCTTGTCTTCGCCTTGTTTGTATGGTAGCCCCAAAACTTTGAAACCGTCGAATGCGCGGAGATATTGCTTCTTGTTGCTGGTCATGAAAGGGGCTTGAATTGTGCTCCCGTTTTGGAGGAAAAAGTCTTGGTCTTTAGTTAGCGATGAATCGAATTTTTCGTCCCATGCTCCTTTGAAATACACTGCGTTAGCGAAAACGAGTCTGGTGGAAGCATCGACTGAATCGGATGGGAGTACTTCTTTGATGAGGCCGTTTGTTTGCTGTTCAGCCCATGTATTCACTTCTTTTGTTACCTCGACAGCCTTTGGAAATTGTCAAGATAAACAAATGTAAAGTTAGCATATGTTATCATGTCAATCAGGTTAATAGTGAAACTAAAACTCGGTGGAAGACAAAATCATATGAGATTTGGATATCTGAAATTTATGTGTAATAAAAAAGAATTTTCATGTGAACTACAAATTGATGTGAAAACCAAAAGTTCAACATCGAACAGAGAGACATAACCGAAGCAGTCGACTTCAAAGGTTAGCATATACCAGGTACGTAAATGCTTTACTTTTAGTAGCATGCCAACCCACACGCGTTGTAATAAATCGATAGATTCAACTACAGCTCTAGCAACTATTACTACATTGAAACTAACATGATATCAATGACGAAAAAAAGAATAAAATAATAATCAATGAAACATTTTGAAAGATTTTCTCTGCTCACTTTTTTCAATTGAGGCTTGCAAACTGTATACAGTTAAACCTCTATAAATTAATACAGTCGGGACTAGGGAAATTTTATTAATTGAACACGTTTTCATCGAGTCGGGACCGAGACAAACTATTATTTAATCGAGGTTATTAATTTATCGAGAATTAAATTATCAAGGTTCTACTGTATATGTTACAACATTCGTGGTGGTTTATATACACCGATAACATATTCAATTTCAACAATGTCCGAATAAACGGATTATGTACCTTATTTCTTCCATTATTTGTAATAATGTTCGAGTTTACGATTTAATCTCTAGATCAATTCTAACATGAAGAACCCGGAACTTGTTACCTTAAAATCCTAGATCCCCATTTATATTGCTGTTCTGAGTTGAATCAAGACCTAATTCTAATTCAACCAATTAAACCCTAATACTACCCCACAAGTATAAAATTAAATCATAAATAAATATAGCAACTGCACCAATCAGAGATGAGATTGGAAAAAAAAAATGATGTAATCAACAGACTCACTCAAATTTACGAATCCAAACGGCGCAATTTGATCATCTAAACCCAAAACCCCATAAACACATGCATACAAATTCGAATTTGGCAAACAAAGAAAACCAACCTTAGTCTGAAAATCGACGTGATTAGAAGCAGCCTTGTAAGAATTCTCGACAATTTGTTTGAAATCGGGCTTCAAGCTGAGGCTCTGATCAACCCAGACGCCGTTGGCCAAGGATAATCGGGGCCCACCGAGATGCGAGCCGTCGGCGAAAACCAGAGTGACGAGCTGCGACGAGAGGGAATTGAGTTCGTCGGTGGACTTGGACTTGAGAAAGCCGAGCAATTGGTCACGGGTCGGGCCGCCCGACCCGGCGGCAATCAAGCCCAGGACGACGTGGATCGAAAGCGGCGAGAATATGAGGTTGGCGTCTTTGGCGTGGGCGGAGATGACGTGGCTTGCCAGTGAGAAGGAAACGTCGGTCTGAGTGAGGATCGATTCACGAAGGTCCATTGCTCTCTGTGCTGCTTTACTGCGTGTTTCTGAGGGTGTGTTAGTGCGTGTTTATTTTGGGGTAGAGAGAGAGAGAGAGAGAATTTGCAGGATTATATATACGAAGCTCTAATCGAAGACGAATCTCAGCTTCCTTGCTTGCTAAGTTGTAATTTTGACGCCGACACAGGAAATTGCAGCCCCATTTCCTCTTTTCATTTTCTTTCTTTATTATTTTTAGTGTGTTTTTAAATTAAGGTAAATTACACTTTCCCTCCGTACGTTAGTTTGGTATCATTTTATCTCTTCTACTCTTAATGGTATTTATTTGACTCTCATTGTTAGTTTTTCGGATATTTAACCTGAGCATCGTTTGGTCTAAGTCTGAAAATTACAAATAAGCCACCCTTCCTAATTTAAATAATTATGAAAAAAAAAATTGGCTGCCGTCGTGGACTATGCTTTCTCGTTGTCTAGAATTTATTTTTATATAATTATTTTTTGTTTTTTCTTAATTTATTTTATTATTTTATTTTTTGTTTTTTTAATAATTATTTAAATTGGGAGGGTGACGTTTTTATAATTTCAGAGTTTAGACCAAATGGTGTTGATGTCAAATGTCTGACAACTAACGAGAGCTACATTGATACAATTTTTCTAGTGTAAGAAGGCAAATCAATGTAATCGAGAGTAAAATGGAGTAAAGTAATACCACACCAGAGTAAACGGAGAAAAGTAGAATTTGCCATAAAATTAAATACGTCGGTATATGGAAAAAAAAGCAACTTTATTCTGATGGAAATAAATTGAGAATTGGAATATATTTTCTTTTCTCTCTCTACCTAGTCACAGTATTACACGATATTATTTTTCTATCAATATGTGGAATAATCATTTGTGCATACGTGGAAGCAAACGCGGTGGCGCGTGGAAAATTGGTAGGAAGTTGGAAGTGATGGGACCACATTCCCTCACGTTCTGACTTTTGCCCTACATGATATATTAATATTAGACTGCGGCTATATGCAATACTCATTCCACTTGTGCAAGACCAAATTAAAGAAAGATTCTAAAAGATTTTATTTTATTAAGATGAAATGACAAGTATGCCCATAAATTAAATTCGCTTTTTTTTCCCTCATGTAAGACCAAATACAAATAATGAGAAAAAAACAAAAATCGACACCAAGGTGTCGAAAAACTATGCTACAAATCGACACTTAAGCGTCGAATTTCATAGGTATAAATCGACATTGACATGTCGAATTTGTAGCACAAATTCAAATGTCGAATTTTATACCTCAAAATCGACATCAAAATGTCGAATTGCATACCTGCAAAATCGACATCAAAATGTCGAATTGCATACCTCAAAATCGACATTCAAATGTCGAATTTTATACCTGTAAAATTCGACCTGTACATGTCGAATTCGTTTGCGCGGGATTTTTTTTGGAAAATCGATATGCTAGCTAAAAAACCCATAAATGCATACATTCTTGGGTTCTTCCATCGTAGAATCTTCTATTTTGATGTCTTCTGACTCCATACTTGCCATCTTTGTAAGATTTGTTGAGTTTTGATGATTTTGAATTTCTAGGTTTTGTGGGTTAATGGAGGAGGAAGGAGAAAGGTCTTGTGAGTTTTGGAAGATGGAGAAGATGAAAGTTGGTCTTGTGGTTTTGTTGTCTTGTGATAGAGTTTTTTGTGTTTTTGAATTTTTTGTTATGCACATTTTGAATTTTTTATTTTTTTAACAAGTAAGGGTATTATAGTATTTATACATTGAAAATTTTAATTTGGTCTTGCACAAGTGGGTTTAGTCTTGCATATAGCCGCAACCTTAATATTATTCTTTAGTATTTTATCTTGGCATAATCATACTTAGGCTTGAAAATTGCAAATTATGCCTTGCTTGTGGATATAGGATAGTGTAAACAAAAAGAAAATATCACTATTAATGTTTAAAACAACTAAAATGCTATTCATAATGCGGATTTTACTAGTTTGAAGTGCGATCTTAATTTATAATATGCAACTTTTCAACAAAAGAATCTCATAACTTTCTCAAAAAAGGAAACTTTTGAATTCTTTGAAATTAAAGAGCAATTATGACGACAATTTGAGATAAATAATTATTTATTTATGTTAATTTAACATCATATTATTGTTTAGTGATTAAGGTTGAATCAATCGATTTCTGGGGTACAATTTTTGTTTTGTGCTACGAAGCATGAAATAGATTAATTCGTTTCGTGCTTTTGTAGCACGAAATAGGGCACTTTAATTAGATTCTTTTTTGATGCGTTTCGTGTAGATTTTTCCGAAGCAGAATGTTCTGTTTTGGAGAAATCTACACAAATGCATCAATGTTTTGATGTTTCTAGGAATTCCGTGTTAAATAATACGAAATACAAACATGCATTTCGTGTAGAATAACACGAAATGCACCAACATATAAGAAATATTTTGCATTTCATTTTATGTTACACGAAATTTTGTGTTGCATTTCGTGTAACCCAACACGAAATTCATAAAAAACTTAATTCAAAATTCAACAAAAACGTATTTTTTTTTTTGTATTCTTAGAATCATAATAGTTTTCAGCCATATTGATAATTGTTGTGTTTAATGAAATTACCATAAACGAATTCAAGATTTGTAAAGTTTTGAAAAAGGCTTAGAGAATTTGGAAAAAAACTAAAGGGAAAAAAAAAATGAAGTATGAATAGTAAACCCCTTAAAACAATCAATTGTTTCTTGAACCAATTACTATTTATCAGAATATAAGTTATCACAATTAATCGTAAGCGGCAAATTTAGTATGAGAAAATTTCATTTTAATTTGAATATAAAAAATGATAAATAATATGGTTGGCGCTAGAAAGAGAAATGCAATTTGAGACAGGTGGAATTTGTTTAATCAAGGTAATTAATGTATTATTACATTTAGGGTTAAATACAAAAACACCCTTGTACTATGGACTTTGTATCATTTACCCCCCTGTACTACACATAAATACAAAAACCCCCCTCAAATTGCATTTTTTCCAAAATATGACGAAAATACCCCTACTCAAGCATATATATATATATATATATATATATATATATATATATATATATATATATATATATATATATATATATATATATATATATATATATATATATATATATATATATATATATATATATATATATATATATATATATATATATATATATATATATATATATATATATATATATATATATATATATATATATATATATATATATATATATATATATATATATATATATATATATATATATATATATATATATATATATATATATATATATATATATATATATATATATATATATATCTATATATATATATATATATATATATATATATATATATATATATATATATATATATATATATATATCTATCTATATATATATATAAATATCTCTTTTTATATATATATATATATATGGAGATATATATATATATCTCTAACTATATATATATATCTATGTGTGTGTATATATGTGTATATATATATATATATATA